GATGGGTGCTGGATTCTATTATATTGGTTATTACATTGGTGATTATATTGAAATTGGTTATTACATTTGTGAGTTATTCATTTTTTTCTATCTCTTTTAGATTATTAACCCTTCATCATGTCAAAAAAAAAAAAAGAAAAAAGAAAATGGAATGCGCCTTCGTTTCACTTGCACGAGAAATGATAAATTGCAAGAATTCCAGTGCATACTTTGTAATGCTGTATTTTCCAACGCAAATATGAAGCCATCAAAGCTGCAAGAACTCTTCAACAACAAGCACGGTGAAGGTGGCGTAGAAGACCATGATTTTGAATCACTGAAAATTAAAAGAGCCCGTTTTCAATTTCGAGGAAACCTTCCAAGATTAGGTTTCATTTCTGTTGACAAACCACTGCTTCTGGCTTCGTACCAAGTGGCATATAAAGTAGTCAAGTCCAAGAAGCCCCATATAATTGTAGAAGAGCTGATCAAACTGTGTGCATTAGAAATGACAACAACTGTTCTGGGTCAAGAAGCAAGAAAAAAGCTTGAATTAGTGCCGCTATCAAATATTGGCATTCATAATCGAATTGGTGATTTGAGTGATGATATTTTGGTTCAAGTTATCTCAGATGTCAGGTTTAGTTCTTTGAAAATATTATTCCAGTTGGACGAATCAACTGATGTATCAAACTGCAGTTAACTCATTGAATTGGTTAGGTATGTCAGTGATGGTATTGTGTATTTCCTGCTTTGTAAAGAGCTGAAAACAACCACACAAGGAAAAGATGTGTATCAGTTTGTGAAAGATTTCTTCGTCAAACATGATTTAGATATCCAAACTATTGGGTCTGTGTGCACTTATGGTGCTCCTGTGATGCTAGGGAATAAATCTGGATTTTTTGCACTGATGAAGAGGAAGATTCCGCACTTGCAAGTCACCTACTGTTTCCTTCATCGTCATGTTTTGGCAGCAAAACCATTGCCTCTAAGGTTGAAAAAAGTACTCGTCACTTGTGTAAAGATCATCAACTGGATTAAGGGTCATGCTCTGAACCACCGCATCTTTAAGTTGTTTTATGAAGATCTGGGAAATGAATATACAGTTTTGCTTTTCCACACGGAAGTCCGCTGGCTCTCACGAGGGTAAGCTTTAAACCCGCTTCTTCGAACTGCGGGAAGAAATCAAAGTTTTTCTGGGGGAACGTGACTAGGATCTGGTTGGTGAATTGGAATCACAAAACTTCATGCAAATGTTGACTTATATGACTGTCATTTTCACTCGTATGTATGAATTGAGTGTCTATCTTCATGGAAAAGATATGAACATATTCAAATGTTGCAAAAAGATGAAAGCTTTTAAAGAAAAGTTACCTCTTTGGCGTCGACGGGTGAAAAGAGGTAATCTTTCAAATTTTCTATCACTTGAAGAAATTGTTGATAATGGATCTCTAATTCCTACTTTGCGTGAAGACATTGTGGCTCATTTGGAAATGCTGTCAAAATCATTTGATGGATATTTTACAGCTGGAGAACTGGAGATTTGATCATAAAACCCTAACTCCTACAATTTGGATAATATGGCTGATGATGACGAGTTGAAGGAAGATCTTATAGATTTGCGGACAAATCGTGCTCTTGAAATGCAATTTGAAATCAAGACGTTGGAGGAGTCATACTATTCAGCAATGTATGTATTTCCAAGATATTGTGAAAAAGCACTTGGTGTCCTTATCCCATTTACAACCACATATTTATGTAAGTCTGGATTTAGTTCCCTTTTGTCAATCAAGACGAAATCTAGAAATAACATGAATCCACAGGCAAACATGCAGATCACGATCAGCAACAAGTACCACGTTTTGACAAAAACATATGCATGAAACAGGAACAAAAAAGTCATTAGCTTTAAAAAAATTTTATGTGAATTTCTTAATGTTAGATTTTATTTTTTCGAAATTGTTTAACTTATACTTACATTGACTGAAAAGCTTAATTCTTTTTGTACTATTTGTTTGTAATTAAGTTTGTTGTAACGGTTTTCTTTTTCTTTCTTCCTTTTCATGTCATTCAAAAATTAATTTAAATAAATTTGTTGCTCAAATTGAGTATAAATTGCTGCCTTCATCTCCATATGAGATATTACTTTTGTGTATATATATATATATATATATATATATATATATATATATATATATATAGAGAGAGAGAGAGAGAGGGTGCTGTGAAATCATATTTTCATATGTTTTCTTGGGGTGTGAGTCATAGAAAAGGTTGAGAACCCCTGCTTTAGATGAATGTTCGTAAATCCGGTGATATATCCTTTAGTCACTGCTCTCGCTCATTCTCCTCTTGGGAAAGACGAAATACAGGCACCATCTTTTGATTGTTATAGTTACCATGCTAACCTGTTAACTGTACTTTTTCAACATTTCGAGAAAAAAAAACATTGGGATATTGAAATTAAAATGTATAAACTAAAATATTTTGCAAAATATTCAGGTTGATTCTAAAATTTGCCTGAATCTTAGATTTGAACGTGTGAATGATTTGGCCTTAGGAATTTGATTCAGTATGAAAAATTTTAATTTTCGGTTGAAGTTGTACTATACGCACTTCAAAATGAAATAACTTTTCTATTTTTTTTTTTTTTTCAATTTTTTAGATTTCTGTAGATCAAGTATACAGATAAAGAACACAAGACAGATTATTGAAGTTAATAGGGGGTTCAGTTTTCTATGTAAACTCGTTGTAAAATGCCCCCCTACGCCTTGTGAATCCAAAGCGAAATATACTAACACGTAATTTCTTAAATTGTAATTTTAGTGTATAGTTCATACATAGTATCGATTAAGCAATCCAGATTACAATAGTTCAATAATTCATCCGTTATGAGCATTTTTTGTTTAGGTGGGGATCAAGACAAAGAGAATTTACACCACAAATTGGACTCCCCTATTAACGAGTTTAAAATTATATAAAGATAAATACGCTGACCGGAACACTACCGCGGTTTCGAGCGCCAAGGTCTCGTCAGGTGGTTTATGCAGCGAATCAATAAGAGGCAACGCAAGACCTTATATATATATATATATATATATATATATATATATATTCGCGGTATGGTATGTTTCAGTGATATGAAGAGAAAAAAAAGAGTTTATTTCTGATCGAAGTGCTTATTGAACAACTCCAAGGTTTATATGAAGGTGGTATTTTGTCATATTTTAAAGGCTAAGGTGTAGATGGGGAAACTCTAGGGCGTAGGAATTTAGGACTCAGATTTGGAAATTTTAGTGTTTGGAACTTCAAATGGGGATGTAAAGTAGGTATGTAGAAATTAAAAAAACTACACCAACACAGGTTAGAGCAACTTTCAAGTCATTAATGTTATCGCCTTGCATCTTAAGAAAACAGAAATCTTTCATGGTATATTTTTAAGAAGTGGTAAAATATTAAGCGGTAATTATTGAATTTAATTATGATATTAATTTTAGTAATAAAAATCTTAGTAAATAATTATTATTCTGCGTTAATTTTGCTGTGCAAAAGGAGATATTTTTGTATTCTATTTGTGGATGACAGTAAAATTAGACATATCTTAAAATACCTAAGAAAAACACAAATTATTTTTAAAAAAATAAAATTTAATATGAACAACAATACCACACAGTAAAATTTTAAAAAATTTTATTCAAATAAAGAATAAAAAAAATTCATACAATACGTACGCTCGTATAGACAAACCATACTTACTTCAGTGCCTTAAATAATAAATGTAAATTAATCCAAGGATAAAAAGGTAAGTATTAAAAAAAAAAAAAAAAAAAAAAAATGTTTACAGGGATTCCAGCAACGAACTTTCGTTATCATGTTAAGATTAAAAGTTAAAAATCACTGACTCCCACCCTCCAAGCCGGATATGACATATGTACGCTTCCTTGGTCACTTCTTAGTATCAATAGTTGAATACAATGAATAGTATAGTCTTGTGTCAAACAAATTTAAGAGTTTTCGAGGCAGTAACAAATAAATCAAGGATAATAAAAATATCAATTTGTGAAATCAACAAAATATAAAATGAATAATAAAATCACTCCTCACACGCTCAACGGAAAAAAATTTTAAAAAGCATTTAAATTTTCTGAAAGTTTAGTCGGAAAAAAAAATTCTATTTCATCAATAAAAAAATAATTATTTTTGTGACCTTTGTTCGAAAGCGAAAAGTACTACAACACGACTGAATAATTTTATAGATCACAGGCAAGCAAAAAAAAAAAAAAATTTTTTTATTTTCAAGCAATTACGTGACTCGTGGCCTAGTTTCTGATGTTTCACTGTCAACTTTTATTAATCCTCTCCCAAAATACATCCACCTTTTTAAGTTTAGCGGGGAAAACAGATATAGGATCTTTTCTGTTAATTCACCCCAAAGTAAAAAAAGAATTTATATTTATTAAAAATTCACACCGAATTCTCCCAGAGCGAGACCCTTCCATCGCACTCCGGTTGGGTTGACTTTTGCGATCGCCCCAAATGTGGGCTACTCGGGGGCGCTATTTCTAACTGTTGGGTTCTACATTCGGGCTCTCCCCGATAAACAAGCTCAAAACTTTTTTTTTTTTTTTTTTTAAAAAAAAAAAAAAAAAAAAAAAAGAATTGTAAAAAATTCCGTGTAAGTACCTCGAATATTATCCGTACTTAAAAAATGCCCGATTTGGGATATTTTTTTCATTCTGAGGGTTGAAGTTGTTGCGACAAACAAATTTTAATTTATAATTTCAAAAGGGTGTCGCATGGGTTGAATTAATATTTGCGATAAGTAACTTTACAATACATTATTTGGTCTAAAATTAACAAAAAATATTCCATGTTTATATGCGTGTATGAAGAACCAAATGCTTACAGTTTGTATAAACTACTACAATTAGAGACGTTTCAAGCCGAATAAAAAAATACATTTGTTTGATAATTGAATATAATAGAAAATAAAGTTGCAATAAGTATTTTTTTTAACTTACTTTTCCGAAAAGAAGATGCAACGGATAAGCTTGACTGCAGCCACCAGAACAACCCCAGAACCAGCAACAGCGAGAAGGATTTCTTTCGTATTAGTACCGCTTGCCATTTCAAGGTGATAAATGTGTGTCTTGTCGTTGGTTTACGTGGGTAAATAAACTATGTCTCCTTACAGAAAAAAAAAATCTGTTATCGTCAGGTAACAAAGAACAACCTCTTGCAGCTTCGGTAAGTTAAAGAAACGAAATCTGTGATTTCTAGTAGTTATACTCGGGCCATATACAGAAAGAGTGTGTTTATTAATGGGCAGCCCACGAAAGACAAACAAACAAAAAAAACAACACTTTTTTGCCATGGCTCAATTGGTAAACACGCATAAAGTATCAAAGCCGTCTTCAGGATGGGCCAGAGTTATGAATCTTAGAAGATTGCTTTTAGCATATCTTTGGTGTACTATATTGGTTTGTTTGAGCAGTCAGTTTTGCACCTTTCAAAACGGCTCTACGCACTAAATTCTGTTTATTTCGTACTAATATTTCTTAGGAAAAACTATTAAAATTTATATAATAAAAAAAGAAATGTAAAATTATACAAAAAATAATGATTAAAAAGTGTAAATAAAAAAAATACAATAGATTAGGTTCGTTTATTACACTTTCTTTTGAGAGAGTGGTGTTTAAAACATTTGTAGTGGGCCGTGGCGGTTACGGTTTGTTGAGGGTTCATGGCGTGGCTGTTATATTGTTGATAGAAGTCAGACGTAGAAGAAACGCAAGGTTCAGATACTCCTGCCCGCCGAGCCCAACTACATAAAAAGGTTGGACTTTGATTAAGTCCAAAGAAGAAGGTAAAGAAAGCAAACAAAACACAAGACCGATAATATATGTATATACAAATATATATTATTAACAAGTTACAATACATGGAAAGAGTACAAAGGACGAAGTGTGTGTGAATATTCTGTATGTGCGTGCGTGTGTGAATATTCTGTGTGTGCGTGCGTGTGTGTATATTGTGCTTAGCGTGTTTCCACGCTATTCCTTGTTAGCGACTACATTTCGAGGTTGATAGTTGAAATCCTCTAGGAATAAGAGAAATTTACCTCGAGGTGTCAGTGCACAGGCCTGAAAGGAAAAAAGAGATCGAGGCGAAGGGTCATTGGCTATTTATAGCCAGGAAAGGGAGACCCCTGGTGAAAGGGTTACGAACTGAAGGAGGAGTTAACTCCGACACATTTAATAAAAGAAGCAAGTTACAAACTAACACCTATTCTTTAAATAAAAAACAAACTGCTACATTGAAGCCAGACTGTTAGTATAAACTGACTTGAATAAAATTTCTAGTGTAAAATTTTGTATAAGTCAGGCTCAAATTGATGATCACCCACTGGTTGGAGGAAGCGTAGAGGTGGTCAACTCAAGACTTGGCTCGCAACGGTCAAAGCAGATATGGAACTCATGTCCGATTCTCGCGTTTTCGGGGTCCGACGTTGGAATCGCGAATGGCTCGATCACGCCGTCGATTCTGCTGCCGATCGACGGAGGTGGATGGCCTTGACGCGCGATGCGGTTAATTCAATTGGAGCCGGCTCAACCCACCCCGGGTGAATGCCGTTACAAGACAAGACAAGACAAGACAAGAAATTGATGATGTAAAAATATCGCCAAAATGAAGCATGACGTCTTATGAAAAAGATACATGTATAAAATTTGGTTTACAAAGTTGTAAAAAAATTAAAAAAATAAAAAAATAAAAAAAAGGCTCTAGTCTTGTGGTCTGAAAACCTGCCAAACTTTATTTTGGTGAAAGGTGAAAAGGTGAATGGTGAAAGTAAGTTACGAACCCAGAGTATCAAATTTCTGAATCAAATCAGACCCGGTTCAAGGCTATTTAAGAAGTCTGGCTTGTCAGACAAGAAGAAATTCGGCATTGACAAAGATGTCGGCTGGATGCTGAACTTAGTTGATGATGAAGCAGTAAGAAGAAAGGAATAGGCTTTTACCAGCGAGTGACCGTGGGCAGTTTCTGAACAAAAGAAAAACTAAAAACCGTCGAATACTACGACGAAAACAAACAGAAGAAAAAGAAAGCAGAAAATAGAAGTTTAGATAGATATAAGTTTATCTTTCTATAATTGTTTGTGAAAGTGTGTCACAAAATTGGTGGTATTAACCGTGATTTGGAATATTTTATGAAAATACGAGAAATACTCATCCAGTTTGTAAGAGTAAACTGTTGTGTAAACAAGCTGTCGGAGTTAGCTCCTCCTTAGCTAATTAACCCTTCAACAGGGGTCTCTCTCCCCTGGCTATAAATACTACCTGACCCTTAGCCTCGACCTCTTTTCCTCAGGCTTCGGCCTTATACCACCTCGCAGATGTGAACGCTCACAGATACAGCGTTTCCCAAATGCTGAGAACACGCTAAGAAATATACACGTACGTACGAACACTCACCACAACACACACACACATATTCACCACACACACTCTGTCCACGTAACTGTCCATGTAACTTGTAACCTTTCTTGTTATTAATACATATATTTGTTTACATATATTTATCGGTCTTGTATTTGTTTTTCTTTGCCTTCTTTGGACTTAATTAAAGTCCAACTTTCTCATGTAGTTGGACCGTCTAGCAGGAAATTTCTACCCACGTGTATTCTTCTACTTCTACTCAACATCGCCGACACGGTCCGCTACAAAACCATAAACCCAGAAAGTCCTATGAATTTTCCATCCTTCTCAACTCCTTTGACTGTTGAATGAGTCTAAGAGAACATTTTGTCGATAATAATTAGAATTGTTTTTATGAGCCTAACAGTAATTAGAAGTTATCTTGCCCAATTGTTTGGCACACAAAGGAATATTTTGTGCAACTTTATTTTGTGAATTTTGTATTATGTGTTATTACTTTTTTTTTTATTTATTTAATAAATTTAAATTTCTTTCACATTCAAAAATGGGGTAAGAGTCTCATTTTTTTTTTTTTTTTTTTTATTTTTTGTTTTTACCATTCATAATACACGGGATACGTGATTTGACGTTATTTATTCTCCCCCACAAGAATTCTTTAAGGCATGAATCCACTTCTCCATGCGTCTGTAAAGGTATCGTAATTTGTATAATCAATAAACTAGTTATTATAATTGATGAAAATAATATAGGTTTATACAGAAGCTATGGCCTATTATGACCAAATGACAGGCATAATAATCTAAATAGCCAGAATAAACAATCTCATATTAGAACAATGGGAAAAAGTAAGAATTTTCAAATTAACCGATAAACATCTCCCCGTAAATAATAAACTATCAAATATTATTAATAAAATTAATATTAAGTTGCAGTTACGTGGAAAACATGTAAAAATATTAAACAAATATAATTAACAATATTAATTCTCATAACAGCGGTATTATACATAATAATTATTATTTATATTATTTAATGCAGTTTTAGAAATGAAATAAATGCTTGATCAATATTGTAATGTATAAAGCTACGGCAACGAACAATATTAATACAGAAAAAAAATTATAGAAGCAACAAAAAAGAAAAGGATTGTAATCATAAAAATACTTTCGAAAGGGAAAAAATAAAGCTAATAATACATTTTCTGAATATGTAAAGGAAGAAAAAAAATATTTCCGCCAACATAAAATGGAAAAACAGAAAAGTGAACCTCCTCACAACTGCAGACTATACCACGGAACAAAATTACACATAATTAAGGAAAATTGTTAATAAAAAAGAATAAATTCCTAAGCAAATGCCGCTATATTAATAAGCATTTCCTTTATTTAAAACAAGATTTTAACTAAAATTAAGAAAACTTGACATTAAATATTACGATAATACAAAGAAAGTACTCCTTAAGGGTTAAATTCACCTAATAAAATCAATTTTCAATAGACAGAACCTATTATAATTTAGTTACATATATTCTTATCCATAACAGTTTATATATATATATATATATATATATATATATATATATATATATATATATATATATATATATATAATATTAAAGTGTATTTTAGGTAGCAACCTTTCTCTTTTACACATCTTTCTTTAAATATGACAGACAAGGAAAGGTTAATTATTTTTATATAGTTTTTTCCAGCGTTCTTACGTTTTGAAAATGGCGAAATAATTGTCCGAAAACTTGGTACAATATAGACAATGTTGTACTCATTTACTCCTACCAAACGGGAAAATGTAAGAACACTGGAAAAACTAAATAAAAAATGAATTAAATTTTTCTTGTCTGTCATAAATAAACGAAAGATTATATATATATATATACATATATATATATATATATATATATATGAGAAAGAGCAAACAAACATACATGGTGGATTTTACCGACTACCCACAATTCATCGAAGATTATATTTTTTCAAGTGGATCTTTTCTCGGAATAAATATCCATTTGAAACAAATCCTTTAAACTTTAGAGAAAACATTCGTCACGGTCTGTTACAAAACACAATGCAAAATTCAATTAGAAAATCAGACTCGAGGAAACGGGAAATCGGTACAATTAACTTTATTGCGTCAACGATCCAATAGATATTTACTCGGCTAAGTTATTGGAACAAAACTTACTGCACAGGTGATGAGCCTCGAGTTGGCATTTACTACTCATAGATTAATGCGAGGTTGAAAAGAAGGAGAGAAAAAAAAATAAAAACAATTATAAAAAGCAATGAAAAATCTATCAATTCTTTATTTCATTTTCACATTTTAACGTTTTCTCAGCCCGATTTAAGATTTTTGCTAGTAATCTGGCCAAAATTCCTTCTTTATCTTTTCATAGTAGGAAGTCAAGTTTGGATAAACGTTATCTGAAAGACAAACAAAACAGAATTAATAATTAATTTGACATTCAGTCTTTGCCTTAAATTTAAATGCAATCAGTACGACTACGAATAATGAATCTGCACATCTGTAAATTTAGATTAGAAAATATCTCTTGAAAAGAGGGAACCAATCATCTTCCCGCCATACCATGGCGACAGACGAAGGCGAGTGCTGGACTATCGATTAAAGCTGGAACATTAGTGCGTATGTAAATCTAAATTATTGTCAAAGTGTTCTTCGATTTTTTGGTTCTATTCTAAGAAACGTGTTAAAGACATAGGGACATTCGGAAGCATTTTTTAAGAATAACAACTTATGTTAATTGCTTAGATGCAAAATAAACATTTACAATTCTTCTATAAATTTTATCTTTGAAGCCTTTGTAACGTTTGCAAGAATTGAAATTAAAAAAAAAACATTATTAATTATGTTTTTTAAAATTTTAAAAATGTGACAGTTATTTTTTTAATACTGGCATTGCTGAACGGAGAGAAACGTCGTATTTATGGGAGAATATAATTTCCCACGAATAATAATTTTAGTGAGGACAAAAATAATAATATACGATCATATTTCTTTCGGTTCATGACTGAACACAAAACAAGCGTGTCGTTTCTTTCTACGGTAGGCTGGTTGTCAACCGAGACTTTCGTGCGTACTCTGTCTAGCTATTCAACCCATAGCTAGGGGAATACGAGATGGATTCATACCTTTCCCCATTTGCAAAAGAGAATGTAAAGAATTAAACTGTAAGTCGAACACACTTTTCTGATTCCCCATTCCGAGGCGTTACCCATAACCCCACAGCGCACATCTCTTAGCAAAGTAATTCTGTGAAAATATTTTATTTATAACTGAAAAGCCAGATGTTCTCCAAAAGTCTTGAAATCGTGATTGTTCAAGCTTATGCTTAAACTATAAACACATCAAAATCCAATCGAAATCTTTTTAACTTGCAAGTTACCTACCTTGATATTTTCGTGTATTGTACAAAAGAAATCTATCAAAAGGTTATTTTACTGAAGTTACATGAGAAAAGAATGTTTTTAATTTCTTCGCCTAAAAGAAAGATCAAAATTTATTTTAAACAGTTTTCTGAAGATTATACACAAAGCTTAATTAGTTTGAGATAAGGCTATGTTTTACGAACCCCCTGTAAGAATTGAACTTATTATCAATAGACTGCTATTTTATTGTGATCACAAATGTAGTTTAGTAAATGCTTATACAGTTAAGCAGACAGAAGAACTAAACCCCTATTTGACTCTGTTCAACCCTATTTGACTGGATGAAGAAATTCAAACCTTTTAGGATTTTGGTGACGAAGGAACTTTCCGGCATCATCCACAACATTGCTAACATTCCAAAAACTGCGCAATCGTCTTCACACGGCTGATTTCCCATCAAGAATAGATTCCGGCCTGGGGAGGGATAGAAAAACATTCACTTGAATTGTAAGAAGAAAAAAGAATTTCAAACTCTTTCTAAATTTGCATTGAAATAATTTGGAAATTGTAATTGGCAATGAAAAGTCTTTCGGCAAAAGAAATATCAAACATTTCGTTTCTTTAAAAGAGGTAGATACTTATTGGAACGGAAAAGTTTCTTTGTTGAATATTGATAGTATATAATCATGATAAGGGTTAGCAAGCTTCACTCGCTAGATAAATAACGACTAAGTAGTAAGTTCGATCCTCATACTTTCTTGTGCCACATTTAAGCTACGCTTAGTAAATTACTATAATCTGGGCACTTGAAAGCCGGTTCATTCAGTGCAGGTGTATACAAAGGAAACTGTATGAATGATTACGCAATTTTAAAATCTTAAACTAATAGTTATGTTGCGACTTTGACGCTTTAAAATGAGTTCTAAGACTGATTTCTGTAATAGAAATGTTTAATAAATAGTTTGCAAAAGATAAAATAATGCTGGAAATTGAAAAGAAAATGATTGACAAAACTGAAGTCTACTGAAGATCCCGGACAATTCTAATGCAAGTCTTCTAATAACAACTAAATACTTGATCTCTCCAATCTGTGTATCATAATTTACAAACTATAAGACGTCGTCAAGCCATAAAATCTTTAGGCCTTGAAGAAGTCTTGAAAAGCGCAAGATATCAGCCCTTAAAACATTTGATGCCACTCGTTCATCCATCTTTGAATGCTGACCGTTCAGATATAATGAGCAAATGAATAGAGGAAGACTGCCTTTCATACAGAGACATGTTTCAGGAAGAGGCCAAATGATTTCAGAAAGAAAAGGGTCTATATTTATGACAATGTTCTATTAGATTTAGCAAAGAAAATTTACGAATATCTGACTAAAATACATTTTAAAGAGTCTAGTTTGTGTGAAGGTACATGGATCCTTCTGAAGTGAAGGGTTTTTACATTGGCAAACAGAAATATCAAACACAATCTCGCATGATTAGCCGCTTCAGGTTTATCGATATTTAAATGAACACAATGAAATCAAAAGGTTTATTTACTGAATGATGGAAGCATTTATCTGCAGTTATGATGAAATATGGTTTGTTTCATTTACTTTCCTCGTCAACTAAAAATTAAATTCGTGGTTTTGTTTGCGGTCAAATCTTCATAGCAATTTGATCTTTGAGTTTTAAAACGTCATTTCAACTTTTCTTCCGAACGATCAGTTTTTCTTTTCACTGGATTTCCTGATCAAATAAGCTATTGTATTTTTACAGCACTTCTCGATTTTAAATTTCTTTTCAATAATAATAATAATCATCTTATCACTTATATGATCTCATTCGACCAACATTTTTTCAAGCAGATTATTTTATTTCCGCTCTTTCTCAAGACGTAAGAGGAAAAAGACTTGGTAGTAGTGTTAAGGATAAAGCCTCTTGGTTCTTTGTCAAAAATAAAATGAAAATGCAACAGTTCCCCTATTTTAGGCACCCGTATTTTAAAATTATGATCGTTAACTTTTAGTGGGGAATAAGTAAAACGACAATATATATCTGGGAGAATAGTAAAGGGATGTTTTTTCTTCGTAGACTTGAATTAAATTACACCGTTCTAAGAGATTTTGTTCCAAGCCAATATCCAAAGAAAAGACTAAAAATAACAAGTATTTTAATAGTTAATTTATTTGGCAATAAAGTTTACTTTAAATCGAGTTTGGATTTAATTTCATTATATCAAGGTAGGATTTCCTAAATTAGTAAAATATCCGCTTTGCATAAAACCTGCAATATTATAAAATAAAAGAGAATGCCAATTTATCTAAAAATGGCCCGATCCCCAACAAAATCAGCAAGATTATAAAACAGAATGAAATAAACTTACCAATTTGGTCAGACAAAGCTTGAAGATCTTGCTTACAGAGTGCCTCAACTTCTTCTGGAGTATGTCGGCCATAGCCCTGACAATAAGCTTGTTTCGTAACAGCAGATCTTATTCTCCACAAGATAAATCTGTTCGCTGGAATTATTTTCCACAACGAAGAATCACCGTAGCTATAGACCCACCGGCTCAAAACTAATGTCCTGAAAAGGAAAAAAAAATGTTTAAAATTTAAATTTAAATTTACAATTAACGTGCAAATTACTCATCTCTCAGTCCCGTCTCTGTCTTTGGGCAAAGCGCGCTCAGAGGGGCCTCCATCAAAGGACAGAGTCACAACTGAGGAAAATTATACTGAGTGGTGCCCAGCCCTGGGGAACAGCTGCCTGAGGCCGCGCCCTCTCATTGCGCCATAGAGAGGGATATGAGTGATCGCACCGAAGCCAGCGCAACCGACGATTGTGGTGGGGGGGTGCTGCGGGCAATATTTTTTCCTAGCCCGGGTGACGCATTCGGGCTCCCCACATTAAACCGACCTTGTGTCAAAACCTTACCTCGTGTGGGGTTGAGTAAATACAAATTTACAGTTAGAAATGTAGGAAATTACAAACACAAAAAGAAAAAAATAAATCCTGGGAAAAAAAAATGAATGGGTATGAATGACTTGCTTTGGATTCATTCCGGTTGACTAATCAACCGTATGATTATCGAGCAAACTATTTATCTTAACATCAATTCTGTTAAAAGGTGATTGCAAGCTTTACATTTATAGAATGGAAATAGAACGGAAATATAGTTACGATATATGAAATAAGGGGAAAAAATGACACTGGATTTGATAATCCTTAATAACTCTGAATGTAATATCTGAGGAAGACTCACGACAATGAAACTTACACAAGTTACAGATTGGAACACTAAGCGTCCCTCTATTGCTTACAGCTCGGTTTCTGCCAGGAAAGCGATAAAGAATTCTTTTCAGAGAATGTTGAAGACTAACTGCTGTGACTTTTAATCAAAGTACAAACCAAAACAAAGATGAAAATACTATTTAAAATAATTCATTAAATTCCCTTCAGAAATAAGAACATACTTAACAATTCGCGTGGCTTCTACCCTACTGGATCTTGGTTGGTAACAAAGAAAAGTGTACTGAGCTGCTATGTAACATCTGTCCTCCTTTACGGCAGTGAATGTTGGACGGTCTCCTCAAAGATGAAGAAGAGACTCGAAGCGGTGGAGGTATGATTCTACAGAAGGATATTAAGTATATCATGGACCGAGCGTATGAGCAATGATGAGGTTTTGAAGAGGATGCAAACAAGGAGGGGGCTTATACTTAGCATCAGGAGGAGGCAACTGAAATTTCTTGGACACGTAATAAGAAAAGAGGGCTTGGAGAATCTGATACTCACATGTCAAATAGAGGGAAAGAGGGACAAGGGAAAGCAGTGCATGACATACCTAGCGGGCTTAAATGTAAGTGGATAATAGAACAGGATCGGGGAAGTAGGAAGTTATATAAACGCCCAACCTAAAAGGAAAAGAAACATATACTCGCAAGAAGATCGAACGTTCGAAGGAATACCCAAAACCACATATCCTTCAATTCGACCGCTCTTACTCTGAGTCCAAAGATTAATAATTAATCATCTCTATCTATAAAAGGCAGTGTGTGTGTGTGTGTGTGTGTGTGTGTGTGTGTGTGTGTGTGTGTGTGTGTGTGTGTAACGAATGCACGGCCGCAATTTTCGACGTATTTGCACCAAAATTTACATGCACATGCTCCAAGTTAGCGGGAAGGCCAAACCCGACGTTGCATTTCCCAACTCCCATCGATAATAGAAATAATTGATTTTTTCATGCTTCTACGGCAGTTTTCATGTAGTTTGCGGCCATTTTGTACTGGCCAGAGCGAGAGCCAATAGCTGGATGCAGCGAATAGGCAGGAAGATTCTATTGGTCAGCGTGAGAGCCAACAGCTGACTGACATGAATGTTAACTAGCATGCAAAAAAAATCGATAGCTGCATTCATCACAAGTGGGAAAAAATTAAATCTTCACGGCACTTTACTCCAATTGGCTCATTCACTTGCTTAAACTCAACGTTGACTCTGATTCCGCAGAACTGGGTTGGGTGTAAAAAAGTATTTGTTGTTAACATTCTTTTTTCATTCGGTTTTTCCAATTACGAGTTCTTTTTTAAAGCTGATCGTTTTGTGTTCATTTTGTTTAGTTCCTTTTTCGTAACAGATTTAATGTTTAGTATAGAGCTTAGAAAAAATGCGCAGTGTGAGATAGGCAAGAAGTAAGGCATGTAGCAACATCAGCACGGCAAAGGACACTCCTTTAAAGGCAATGAAGGGTAAAAATATTTTAAGTCAAATGATAGCGATTGCTGTATGAGTCGTACGATTTTTTAATCAAGTACGGGCAACGCCGGGCCATGCTGCTAGTTATGCATATAAAAATGTTTGTCTCGTATCAAACGTTAGTAACATTACAAGCGTTATAGAGATTGGACACAACGTTTCGGAAACCTACATAATATACAAAATATCACCTATCATTCCAAAATAATGGACTTTGTGTCTGGAATAACATCTATAAAATTCAAGAATAAGCACACTAGGTTGAATCAATCAAATTAGCAATATTAAATGAAATTCGGAGTTTAAAAAAAAATAAATAAATAAACTAGCGTCATTTGTTTTAGGCTTGAAAGTAACAAGTTTATTTCATTTCTTGGTAAATGCAAGAAACAACTTTTTTCTTCCATCACCTACAGGTAAAATAGAATAGTATTGGATGGCAACAAGTCTAAGACGACATCTCTGAATTCAAACCAAATCTCATGCCAGAATCAAAGATAATGACATCGCTTATGCTTTGATGTGGTTCTAAGCTACTGTTTCGCAAAGGAAGGAACCAATTTAGACGAATGTTTAATAAGTCTGAGCAGAATGACTCTTCAGCGGTCGTTCATTCAATTTATGCAGGGAAATTTTCATTGAAAAAAAAACGCACGCTATAAAAAATGAGAAAATAAAACTTTCCGTTTGTTTAGCATTACATCTAAGTACCCGATTATGCTTAGTTAATAATCATTGCAGAGGAAAGATAGTCAATAATAATTTGATGCGTAGTATGAATGGAAACCTGTTCAAAATTCGGTATATACAAAGACCCCAACACGAATACATAAAATAGTGGACCTGGAAGATGCCACTTACCAATATAGGCTTTCTTCGGCTGTTTTCCGCATAGCATGAGCAACTGCCTTCTCTTTCGCCGTCAGATGTTTACTAAGATTGATGTCAAACTTTTTGTTTAGGAATTCAATAATAAACTGAGAGTCGCTAATCACTTGCCCGTTAAGCATGATCCAAGGAGTTTTATGCTTTGGTGACAACTTCATACCATACTCATTCTGAAAACAGAAACAGATACTAAAGATGAGTGTTTTTTTTTATTATTTAAAACAAGCAATGATTCTTAAAAAATAAAAAGAATCCCTTTGTTTTTATTTATTGTAGAAAATGTATAAACTTTTATCAAAAACATTTCTTCACGTTCTGTTTTGTTTATTACAAAATTAAAACCATAATAAAACTATCGTACAACAGTAGCTGACATCGATGAGACTTTTGTACGTGTTATAAATAATTAAGAGTGATCTCTCCTTGCTTTGTTACTCTCCTCTTTGAGACAATTATTTTTGTTTACTGGGACTGTAAAAGGACACTTTACTCGAACCTTGTATCCACAGTTGAATAAAGATTTCTTAAAGCCTACACCTACGCACTTTTGTCATTACAGTGCGTTTTACAGACTTGGAATAAAGCAGTTAATAGAGTCCTATTCCTATTCCTATTCAAAATGAAGGCATTTAACCAAGATGGAGGCATAATGATAACGATGTTTTAGATTTTGAGACAAACAAAACATTTTCTAAATGACTTAGTTGGCATAATCATTAATACAGCTATACTAATGTTCTTTAGGTTACGTTTCTAATCTATTTGAGTTTATATTCTTTTAAAGCCGGATGTTGAGTAGTGTAGGGTTCAGCGTACCTGGATTAAAAGGAGAATTTAATACGGGATACCCTGCCCACAAAATACAACGCAAATTTCAAGAAGAAACAACACGATAAGGAACGTTTGTAGAAAATAGAACATAGTATATTTATTATCTTGTGAATAGGGTAAAAAAGATTAATGCTTTAGTTCGTTTAAGCAAAATGTGATTCGCTGTCTTTCAACAGAGTAGCAGAGTAATGTCTGTTTCTTTTGTTTTTGTATATGTGTAAAGGAAAAAGGGGCGATCAATTTAAGTTGAAAAAGAGAGTGTGGATGAGAAATAAAAGATAAGAGGAAATTGTACTTAGGAGTCAGTTGTAAATTTGTTGTTGTTGTTGTCCTTTCCTACTCCACTTTCGGCTCTTAGTGTCGGGTTGAGTCAGTGATGGAATTTACTGTCAGTCTTCTGTCCTCTATGATCTCTGCGCCCTTCTGACTGGTGACTGACTTGAAACTCTGTATTTATTGTTGAATTTTTTTTTACACTGGCTGGTTATCTTTTTTTTGGTTTAGCAAATCGCCTCCTTTCATTGGTCAGAAAATGAATTTCACACCTTATTGCGAAATCTGTTTTTAGTCGTTTTGATCCGATTTTGCGGGTGTGCAAATCTACTTTGTGTTTTTTAGTCATTTATTGGAATGATATAGGATTTGTATCCTATAGTAGTTTCATTCGTCTCAGCCTCACTGCAGAGCTTCCTCTTAACTAATCGTTTTCATAATAAACTTCTTAGAACAAAGGAAACTAACCTAAATAAAACTCAAGATCTGCACAAAACGTACACACTCATTAATATTAACATATAAGAAAAACTTCGAAGCTTTAGTATCCTTCAAGATAATCCCCTTGGGTCATCATATATTTAGCCCGACGTTTCTTTTTCACAAGGGTTTGAAAAATAATCTCTCGGGTTCGCCATCAACTACAACGTCAGTTTCTCCTTATCACATCCACACCAGTTCGACAGAGATTTAAGTTTGATGGCGGGTAGAAAAAAAATGCTGCGAGCTAAAACTGGACTAGGACAAAACGCTGATCTATTCGCTTGGTCCTTGTACATAATACGATCATTCAATGGTATCTCACTGATGACTGAGTAACCCCCACACCCGTAATGGTTTTCAAGCATGCGCAGTAAATCCATGCAACTTCCGTTCGAGGTATTCAAATTGGCTGGATACGTTTTGGACATATCAATATTCAAACACATGAAAACTATTGATTTCTGAACAAGATTTAGGGAAATATTAAACTCGTCAACTTACTCTGTAAGGTATCTTTGCCATCCGCAAGTAAGTCTCCAATTTGATTGCAAACGGAGACAAGTTCGGAGCGACTGGTGTTCGAGGTATTTGAAATAAGATAACGACATCTTTAGGATAATCCTTTTTCCTGTGAAGTAAAAAAAACAAGATGAATATAATGTCAAAAAATGAATGACAATAATGTTTTTTCTTGAATTATTACTAGTATAAAAAAAAAATTAAATATTTTTCATTCAAATGACTCCAGCAAAAAAAAAAAAAATGTTTGGCAAGTGTTCAATATAGGTCACCCAGCATTGCCCTACACTCGTTTGTGAATATCCCTTTCTAGAAATTCACTTTCATCTACTGTTTGTTTTGACTGGCACCATTTAAAATGACGTGATTCGTCTGCTAAGAAAGGAAAACAATTTTGGTCTCGAACACGTTTCTTAACACGTGACATTTTAGCACACCCCCCACACACACACACACACGTATGCGTTTCAATTTTCAAATGATTTGCAATTTGTCGAATAAAAAAATCGATGATTTTTTTATCTTTTGTCAAACCATGCGCCGTATGCAACCGAGTTTGATTGATTGATTCGTTTTTTACGGCTTATCAACCCTTTGTTTTGCTTGCTTTTTAACAGTTTTTGCTTTGTCATCATTCCTCAAAAGTGTCTTACAGCCCATGTTGCAAAAAATGGTTACAATGAAACTATAAAAATGAATTGTATTTGCTTATTTTTGCACAGAACTACATGTTGCGTATTAGATATGATTAGAACCATACTAGAGACGACTGAATGTGTGAGCGTTGCCAAACTTTTGGCCCAATTAAGTTCAAATATAGGCATTCAAGAATTTATTTCTTTAAGATATTGTGACTTGCAAAAAATATTGGAACATATTGTAGCCTTAATAATGTAGAGTAGAATCAATTCACAAAATGCTCAGGTCAAGAATTAAACTCACGACGCCATGAACAAAATGTAGTCAGAGCCAGTTGTTATCGAATTAGTCCTCTTAAAAAGGATTATCGGATTATCTCTTATATCCAAATTAAAGAACATCAGTTACTAAGAACAATGAAATTGGCATCTGCAAAGAAATTAGGAACCAATAAAATTTTAGCTCAGAGAAAATTCAGAGTTTGGTGTCAAAATTCAAAAAACTGTCTGCGGGTGGTGTAATGGATAGCGGCTCGGAATGAAAAACTGGAGACCAGAGTTCGAGTTCCAATTGAATTCGTTACATTCACATATGCGCAAATACCACTGGGAAATGTATGCGTCTATTTGGGGTTTAAATAGTAGGACTTGTATCTTAAAAAAGAATTATCTGCCAAAGAATAGTTAATTTCATGAAGGAAAATATTCCGGGTTTAAATAAGCCGCAAAGTGTTGATAAGCCGTAAAAAAAAACAAATGAATCCACATCAACTAAAAGCGTTAGAGGGCAAATTTCGTAACCTACAACTAAAATGAATGCTACACAATGTTTACTTGGTGTCAAATAGGTAACAAAAATAGTATGAAAATACCAGATAGAAAATGCAGCGATAAAACGGAAGAGTTTGCTGATAAGATATAACAGAGACTAACACAGAAACTTTAGGGGGACGATGGCGAAGACCATTCAAGTAGAACTTTTCAAGAAACGGCTCGTGATTAATTGATTTGTTTGTTTAACAGCACATCAATTACTTATGGGTCATTTAATGTCCAAATTTAATTTGATTTGAAGTAATAAAAGTATGCTATTATGCTTTCACTATTAAATACATGGTAGATGATACCCAGCTTTTCTGCATATATATTTGTGTAAACATAATCACTACAGGCGGTAATATGTGTGTTTTATTTTGTAGTTATATTAAGGAATATATATATATATATATATATATATATATATATATATATATATATATATTATATTTATATATATTTTAAGATATTAAAACAAAAACATGTTAAAATCGGTATACGATTACAATCAGATTTCAACATAACAAATGTGTCTCTTCGGGCGATGAACCTTCTTTTAAATTAAATGTTACGTACAGTGGAATTTGTTCTATATATATATATATATATATATATATATATATATATATATATATATATATATATATATATATATATATATATATATATATATATATATATATATATATATACATATATATATATATATATATATATATATATATATATATATATATATATATATACAATACATATATATACATATATATATATACATACATATACATACATATACATACATACATATACATACATATACATACATACAAAAATATATATATACATACATACATACATATATCTATATACATACATATATATACATGCATACATATACATGCATGCATATATATACACACACACACACACACACACACATATATATATATATATATATATATATATATATATATATATATATATATATATATATATGTATGTATGTATGTGTGTGTGTATGTATGTCTGTATAAATGCGTTGCTGGTATTTTACTATAAAAGTATAATGTTATACTTTCATAGTGTTTCGTTTTTGTTTAGATATTCACTATTTGCCCTTAGCTGTGGCCCTAACTGTTGCTACCACCCCCTGATGGGGTGGACCCGGGAACAACAGCAATTAAGTGATGGTTTCACGCTCCTCAAAACCTCTAAACTCCCGATCGGAGGTCTTACTGCAGGATACAGTTTATCGTCATACCCAGGGACTAGTCACGGCTTGCCAAATAACACAAGATAACTTTTAATCGTGGAAAGCAATTGATAGTTTTCTTTTTACGGTTTATCAACCCTTTTGGTGTGTTTTTTAAAACCGAAACATTTGGAATTGTAAGAATAATTTCGTTTTTGCGAGTGAATAGTGCATCGGGATTTTTTTTAGAATAACAATGATTTTCGAGTAAAAAGTGAAGAAAGAACTAATCCTAAGCAAACAGAATACACGTTTTTCAGCAAAAACGGACAGTCCAAGTTGCGAGTTAGACATCGGAGTCAAAATCAAGCAAGTGCGAAAATTTAACTGTCTGGATAATGTATTAAAAGAAGACATAAAGTGGGATGCAGAAAAGCTTACCATTATCTGGGAGGTATTTTTGTCTCACCCTGTATTAAGGGTTCCGAAGATGCATGAAAAATAAACAAATAAAAATTACTAAACTGCTATATAGCAGATTACAGAGACTTGATGCGATAATGGCTTATGTTGAACAGAAGAGATGAGAAAAGAAATTTCAAGAACTGGAACTACAAAAAATGACTAACAAAGAGGCAGCTAAAACTTCTGCGATAGGTAATGAGGAAAGAAGGCTCAAAGAATTTGACACACACAGCATACTGAATGCAAGAGAAGCAAATAGTAACAGTCGCTAACCTACTTAATGAGTCTATATAAATCGATAGCAAAACAAAAAATGGGGGTGTTAACGGTGGCAGCAGTTAGCTACAAAGGATAGGAAGTTGGGGAGATCCATCATTGTCCACATCCTGAAAGGACATAAAAGAAGTATTAAAAAATTAAACTTAAACAGAATTACAGTGAAGAGATAGCGGAAAAACAAACTTTAGTAAGAGCTACAAAGTATAGGAAGTGGTGGAGAGCCATAATTGCCCAAATCATGAAAGGACACAGCATATAGAAGAAGAGGAGGAGGAGGAAGACAACGACCAATGACTACAGCTTTTTCTTTTTTTGACCTCGTTCGATAAAATGCATGATAATGAAAAAAAAAGATAGAGAGAAGAAAATGGGACAAATGATACGTCCCCTGATTTTCAGGTCAACAAATTCAGTAATTTTGGAGGTTGCAACAAGTAAATCAAGTTTCAGAAGTTAATAATAAATTGAATTTGTGAAAGCAATAAAATCAACAATTCTCTTCTCTCTTGTACAACGTAATGGTATAAAGAAGCATTGAAGGTTTAAATCGATAAATAATCCTACTTTAGGAGCAAACAACAAAATAAAATTTGTAACTTTTATACGAAAAGCAAAAATACTACACGACTGAATACTTTTATATTTTTAGTTCAGAAACAAACAATTTAAGAAAAATGAAGTCTAAAGTCTTAGTGACCGGTTTTCTGAACTTTCGTTGTTACAAACACCTCATTCATAAACTCTCAAAATACCATCACCATTTTTGGGATAGAAAAGAAAAAAGAAATAAATTATTAATATTTACTATATATATATATTGACAATAGACATTTTATGCCAATTTTATTGATCATCTTTCCATATTACTAATAATCCTTTTCAGACGAGGACCAAATTCCTTCAGAATTTGTCCGAAGTTCATTTCAGAAGAAAAGTTCTAGAAATATGGTTGGTAGGTAGGTCTATCTATCTATCTATCTATCTATCTATCTATCTATAGATAGATAGATAGATAGATAGATAGATAGATAGGTATCGCGATGGATTCTCTAAAAATAAAACATCCATTTTAAATTTTTATTTGTACCAAAATAATGTTTACAATTCTGCTGCATTTATAACCTGTCGTATTTTTGCCCATCGAGGTGGTGTCGTGGTTAGCAAGCTTGTCTCGCTAAATTAATTATGTTCAATCCTCACTGGGCATTCCATACTTTCAGCCTTGTGCCATATCTAAGCTACAACAACTGCTCGAGAAGTAGAAAAAGAAAAGAAGAGTTTGTTAGTTGAATAATTGTTTTTTTTTCGTTTTTGTTCTTTTTGTTTTTGTTTTTGTTTTTCCTCATTCGAGCGGACTGGGGTTATTATTTAGCGCCTGGGGCGTCACCAAAAGAAGTGCCTAAATGGGTGCGTGATTATTTTTTTATCTATTCTGAAATCAACATAAAATATGACCTTGTGTCTCGCTTAGTATAACGTGGGCGTACGAATAAATACTTACTTTTCTGAAAACAAGATGCAACGGATAAGCTTGACTGCAGCCACTAAAACAATTCCAGAACCAGCAACAGCGAGAAGGATTTCTTTTGTATTAGTAGTTATAGTTGCCATTTTAAGGCGACAAGGCGTAGTCGTTTTAAGTGGTTAAATAAACTGTTTCTCCTTACAGAAAAGAAACTGCTGTCCTCGGGCAATGAAAAATGAGAGTAAAGTTGGGAAGACTGATAACTTAGTAGCGTCGATGATAAAGCAAAAAGTAAACGACACACGAGTTGTAAACTAAACAGGATGCGTCAGTGTTGAATAATGATTAACCCACTTGGATACAAAAACTTTTTTTTCGTGGCTCAACTGGTAAACACGCATCAAATATCAAAGCCGTCTTCTTGATTGGCCAGAATTAAAATCTTAGAAACCTAGGTAGCTCAAAAGAAATGCGATACCTAAAGTTTAAAATTATTTTTTAAAAATGAAAAATCTTTCTTGAAGCTTTTATTTTATTTCAATTTAGATTAAATTTAATAATTCGAATAAGCAAAATACTTGCCTCTATTTCAAAACTAATTTAAATTAACTGTATTAGTTTTTGTTTAATCACTAAAAATCGCTGATTTAAGCGACATTTTTAGCCATCTAATATTTATTAGTTTCAGTTGTTTCTTTTTATTTATTTACCCGGACTCACACACCGAGTCCGCCATTGTTGTTGTGGGATAAATATTCCAGGAGACACATGTTTCCTAACTCAAACACTAACGTACATACTACCCGCAACAAAAGAAATAAAGTGGTTTCGTTATAAAACGCCTAAAATCCCGCTATATATTAATAAATAAATATTAATAAATATTAATAAAATATATAAAAAAAAAAATTTCTGGCTTTTTATACGTATTATTTGGCTTTAAATATAAATTAACCCTGACCGATTGGCAAATAGAAATGGCAGTCATTCGGAATGGTGGCGTTTGGTCTCACTTCAGGCATTATACACAGACATTATGAACGAAATTCGAACTCCTAAAATACTCAATGCCGCCACTGTGAGGGAGACGCGCCATGCTCCATCCCCTTTTAATCAAGTTTTAATAGTACCAGCACAGAAGAGGAAGACGGTGGAATGGATACCATAGCCTTCCCCTATGCCCAGCTGCACGAGACTCTGTCCCAATCAGTAATGAACTTAGTAAAGTTCATTACTGATTGGGACAGATGCGGATACCTCCCGACTCCACAGAGTTTGCACGCTTCGGGAGACGCGTATACTCGTCGGTTCGGTATAGATGACAGCATATCCGGGGATGAGAATAGAAACTGCATTCTCACCTGTATTCATGCACGGGATGATATTTCCTTTAGTAATTTCCTTGTCGATCCCTCATAAGGACTCCAAAAAATCACGAAGGTCATCATTCGTTTGGACCTGATGATAGCGAAAATAGGTGTTTTATTACCAACTTGATCTTTGAACTGAGTTCACCGGTAGACACCTGCTGTAATGAAATATAGTTTCCAGTCATTTTAAGAAATTAATATTCTTTTTTTTTTTTTTTTTTTTTTTTTTTTTTGGATGGGCGGGGGGACAAAATTCACTTATGTAATCATTAATTTAACTCATTTTTCCTCGAATCTTATTTCTTTAACGGCTACTTTATTTCTTATTACATCCATATTTTTCATTTGGTGGACAACAATTTTGGTGTACTTTCAGTTAATTTCGAGTGACAAAAATTGATATTGTAAACAATCTAAAATCTATGTTATGTACGATGAAATAATTTTTATGTGTTTGGTATTTATTTGATGCTACCTTCTTGCAAATTAAACTAGAATTGAAAAAAAAAAAATTTACAAGATTTTATTTAAAGAAAAACTATGTGGTCATCGATGCAATATTTTTGAGTACACTTTTTATGTGGAAATATTATTGGGCTATGTATGAAAAATAGGAAAGATTTATTTGATCTACACTCTTAGATATGAACAATATCATAGTGTGACCTCTTTTGCACATTACAAAGCAAAAAAAAAATAGCTTTTCTTTTGTTCGCATATTTTTTTTTTCTTTTCTGGAGATAAGGTGTGTAAAATTGTTTGAATGTTTTTGCATGTCCGAATCAATTTTTAGATTAAAAATAATGGAAGCATTGACAATAAAAAAGAAGAAGCCAACACTCAATAATATCAACGCGGTCACAATGTGCTGGCCGTGTTGGGAAAATAAAAAATAACATTCTTCTAACTCTAGATACATACATAAAAATCTATACATTCAGTTAGAATTAAAAAAATTTAAAAAATACATCCTTATGTCAAGAAAACATAAAACTTATATGAATACAAGAAAAATTAAATAAAAGCTTAACCTTGTTAGTCGTCATTGATGTTTAATGAAACTTGTATAAAAGAGAGATTGCTGCCAAAATACACAAATATATATATAAATATATATATATATATATATATATATATATATATATATATATATATTATCCGTGGCGTGTCCGTTCAGAACGCGGAAGATCTTGGCTCTCCCCAATATCCTATCTTTGTAATGTTTTGTCTTTTCCCTAACACTAATCCAGTCTCTGTTCTGTCATCTATTGACGTAAGCTGGTTCCGTAGGTTTCTCGTTGATTTCCTTTGTTCCTTTTGTCTTCAATAAGTCCTGTGAGTGTCATATTCTTCAAAACTTCTTTCCTTATTATATGGCCTAGAAATGTCAACACTCGCTTTCTGATTCTAAGTATAAGTGTCCTTTTTGTTTCCATTTTCCTCAAAACTTGCTCTTTTCTCACATGTTTTGTTCATGGTATTCTCAGCATCCTCCTGAAAAGCATATTTCTGTTACTAATAATGAATAATGAATAATATTCATCCGTGAGAAAACTGTTCAGTATTCATTCCATTTCGGAAGACCGATATTACATAAATGTTTATTATTATTATTATTATTAGTTTCAAACGAAATTTTCCTCCAGGTGGTGTAATGGTTAGCAAGCTTGTCTCGCGAGAACAACTGCGACTGAGTAATGAGTTCGATTCTCATTGGGTGCCCCTATTTTCGGCCTTGTGCCACATCTAAGCTATATATATATATATATAATGAATCCATTACATTCACTTACGTGCTAATACCCTTGGGAAAGGTATGAATCCTCTTCTTCTCCCCCCAGATATGGGTAAATAGCAGAACAGACTGGGTTCTATAGCCTTGGATGGCAACTGGTCTAGAAGGACAACTCTGAATTCAAAACCTGCGGAGGGTCGATTGGTATATATTACAGCAAAAATCCAAAATTACCTCATATGGGTATAGTTTATTTCAGATAGGCATAATACTGCCAACCTTCATTTACATACAACTAAAGTACAAGTACTAAATACAACATTTTTATGGCCCTCGCCTTTAGTTTATTTGTATGTAAATGAAGATTGACAATGTTATGCCTATCTGAGATAGACTATACCCATATGAGGTAATTTGGGATTTTTGCTGTCAAAAAAAATATATATATCCTATGTTATAATAAAAACATTGAGTTGTCTGTGGATCAGTTTTCATATTTGATATTACTAGGATCTACCTTCAATATATACCAACGAATTTATTACCTATACTATATATACGGAGGTTTACTGTTAATTTCTGCAATGTTTCGATTTTTATATGAGCACAGGTAAGTTTTTTTATTATATATTATTTTTACTAATGTGTGTGAAAATCAATTTGTTCCTTCTTCATTTTTTTAATCAATGGTAATTATTTTTTTAAACACACATTTAAAAAAAAATAAAAGCTAAAATGTAAATGAATTATCAGCCGACAGGAAATTTTGAACCTTAAAAAAGGAACAGGAATTTATGGATAAAAGTTACAAGTGTACACCTAATTTACGTAGGTAAAAAGACACACGAAGACAACACTGATGTTAATTAGCTACATTACGTTTAGTAAATGTCAACAGGAAGGCGACACACAGTTGTTAGCGTCTTAGTGATTTGCGCATGCTTATTGTATATGTGTTTGAGACTGAAGATAAAAGCTCAGACATTTCCATCAATGGAATGCGTTGGTTGAATGCAAAATACTTAGCTCTCAGTATTTTGTTAAGCCCTGAACGAATTCCCATGCAAATTTCTGTCTATGAACAATCGAATAGAAAAGTGGGAGTTCTATTCATTGCCAGCCTTTGTTAGATCTTGAATAATAATAAAAGACTGCAAGTACAAAAGAGAGTTTTACAGAATTTCACGGCATTTCTTTTTACTTGTCATTAACTTGTCGGCCATTTTTTTCTTTCCAATGTTAATTTGTATTTATCACATTAAAATTTATCTTTATTAACCATATCTCTTTCTTTCTTTCTAACTTATTTCACGTCTATCAATGTATCTTGTTTTTTTAAGATATAACTCTCTCTCTCTCTCTCTCTATATATATATATATATAGATAGATAGATAGATAGATAGATAGATAGATAGATAGATAGATAGTTGATGCAAAATTAGGTAATCCGTATGGGTAGACCTGAGGAGGATGATATCCAGAGAGCTCAATGTAAAATTCAGAGCAGATAAGTTTGAATAAAAGACAGACCACGTTAAGATGCCATGTAATAAGCTATTTCACCATAACCCCTTTAACAGGGTTCTGGATCATCAGACTTTACTTCCAAAAACTGAAATGAAAAATGAAAAGAAATTCACACATTTTTTTACGGGCCTCATCAAGTATACGCAAAGTTAACGAAGTGAGGAAGTGAGGTGGGAGAGAGGATATGAGTGTGTCATATGTATCATTTTAGTTTCCTATTTTAACCCCAGTGTGTCGGCTGGATGTTGCTCAAATTTAACGCGTCTCGTTTCTAGATAAAGGTGGCTAAGGGGTGAACGATAAGAACTACATTAAAGGAAGACGTTACAACAACCCCAATAAATTACACGACAGGTTTCATTCAAATTCTTAGACGCTGTCAGTTCGCGTTACTTTAACGTGCATATTTGGGAGGTTAAGGTTTGATAAATATCTCAATTTTAAAACAATCTACGAAGGAATTAATTTGAAATTCGGTGGAGTTTTGGGTATTTTCTATGAAACAGTCGATTGGAAAAATCCATAGACAGAACATTGAAAGAGCAATCCAATTTATATATATATATATATATATATATATATATATATATATATATTTGATTTTTGTTCATTAAGTAACCTCGTGGTTGTTTTTATGTACCCAATTATCAATAGTTATTCCCATTTAAATAATTTTATTCTCCACACCGGGGTAGTATCTTTCAATCTCAATTAAAATACCAATCTAAATTTTCCCTTCGTGCTATTTAAAATTCACTTCCAATTGGAGAATATTAGAGGAGAAATTTGGAAGAGATGTCACTAGCAGAGAATTAGGCCCTTCTTTTACAATTTCTTATCTACACATGTCTTAAACCCCTATTTGTAACCACATACCTATATCTTCTTATATGCCTATGAGTTCCTATATACACCTACACACACATTCACACGAAACGATATATGTATATTTCCATCTTTGCACATATACACCTGCAGAGAAAACGCACATCCACATGTCTCCATACCTATCTCCATATATACTTATACTTACAAATATACATATATACACAAGGACATCTGCATATCCATATATACTCATATGCACATATATATATTTACACATCCATACGTATACACATATACACATACATACACACACCCATATATGCATACATACATACATATACATACACACACATATGCATATGCATACGCAATATGTAGAATATCTACATACCCACATATGCGTTAATTTGCACTTACATATATCTACCCACGTATTCGTCCCTATCCTCATGTCCACCCGTGCATCCACTTATGCCTGCGTTCGAAGACTATCTCAGTATTTAATTACATTATCTATATCTTTACACATATAATATTACCCGATTTTTCATATTTATGGCAAAACATATAAGTATCTAATTGTACATCTCCACACTCACAAAAAAAAAAAAAAAAAAAAAAAACCGGTATGCTTCTTTTTCCGTATAAAAACATATACTTGTACATATCAACAGGTGTCTCAGTGTGCAGATACATTATCATAGTTGTATACATATAGTCATGTGTTAGCGTTCACGTGTGCATATTAATATTTCTAAAAACAAAGGGAATATAAAACATTCAAAATTGCTGTTCCTATATAATTATTTCTTAGTGTACTTGCTTAGGTTTAGGTTGTTTTTGTGCCGGCATTTAAAAACTAGTTCATTGTGTCTATTTAGTAGTATGTCTGGATCTTTATGTTTGATTATAAAGATTTTCTCCTTCAAACATAAGTTGCATCTGTCTCTGAAGTTTTGGGGAGTTCTGGCTCTTGATATTATTCTCCACTTTATTTGTGGTGTTAGGCCACTCTCCAACAAAAACCAATAATGATTTGATAGTGCTGTTTGTTTTTTTTTACATTTATTTTTGAAGGATTGGCGATGGTTGTATAGTCGGTGTTTCCAATCTCCCGCTGATATTCCAATGTATATCTTTTTCTCTTCAACCTTTTCTTTGGGGAAAATTGTTGCTTCATATATTGTGTTCTCTGCCATGCATATTCCTTCAACTGGGCACTCTGATCCTGTCCTGCAGTTGCATGTTGATCTTTCCATTCGTGTTGTATCCTGATTTTGTCTTAGATTATCCTGAAGGTCTCTTAAATTTTTACTGTTGTGTGAGCTAATAATTCTTTCCATATTGTTCATGCAAGAATAGCTAATCTTTAGATTCATCTTGTTGAATATTTTTTTCAGAGATGCATTTTTGCTAAAGTGTTTTCCTATCAGCTTTATGGAGTATTTACCTATATTAATATTGGAGAGGTTACAAAAAGGTGGGTTGAACCATATAATTTTCCTTTTCCTATTTTTGGGTTTAGTGGATTTTTTACTTACTGACTTATCTATGTAATTTAGTGTCGCTTAAAATTGCTTTTTAACAGGGCTTTATTGTATTCCCATTTATTCTGGTTAAAAATGGTTTTACTGGAGGAAAGTTTATTTATTCTAGCATTTACTGTATTTGGGATTTGTTTAATTATTGATTTCGGGTGATTGGAGTGGATATTTATATATATGAGTGATTGGTTTTCATTTTTCATTTCAGCTTTTGGAAGTAAAGTCTGATGATCCAGAACCCTGTTAAAGGGGTTATGGTGAAATAGCTTATTACATGGAATCTTAACGTGGTCTGTCTTTTATTCAATATATATATATATATATATATATATATATATATATATATATATATATGGGATTAATATGAGTCACTTGGCTGATTGATGTTACCTTCAGGCATCACGATTCCAGTGTTTTATAGGCGGACCTGCCCGTCCACTCTTCAGGGGTATCAGCAATTTACGTCTTATATTCTTTAGATTCTTTTTTTCCTTGTGTATTCTCTGATTTCTTGTGTGCGCGCGTTTCTTTGGATGTGCGTTCGTTCGTGTACGCCCGTCTGCATGGGTTGTAGTACATGTAGGGGGTCGGGATCATTTTGACTTTTTCTTCGATTTTTAATTTTTTTTTTTTTTTGGCTTTACACTTTTCCTTTTTTTCTTTTTTTCTCCGCCTGTTCGTGATTTTGTCTGGGTTTGTTCTGTCTCTAGACATGTCACTGATTTTTATTTTTATTTATTCTCATTTATGGGAATTCTGTATTTTTTTTTGGGGGGGGGTGCTAAGGAAGATGCATTTCGTTTTTTAGGATTTTTACTTAAATAAATGACATTATGCTTAAACAATAAATATTATATATATATATATATATATATATATATGATAATAATGATATTAATGTCCAAAGGGTAAATACTTATATATACACATGCACATATACAGTGTAACCCGGATATAAGAGAGTTGTCGGGACCGGAGAAGAAGTCTCTTATATCCGGGTTTCTCTTATATCCGGGTTAGGTCTATTTTATATACATTAACACAGGCTCTAATTTGGGATCAGAGAAAATCTCTCTTATATCCGGGTTTCTCTTATGTCCGGGTTTGGTCTATTTTATATACATTAATACAGGCTCTAATTTGGGATCAGAGAAAATCTCTCTTATATCCGGGTTTCTCTTATATCCGGGTCTCTTATATCCGGGTTACACTGTATATGCATACACACACACACAACTATCCATATACATACATGAACATATACACATATATTTATATATCTTCACTGGGCTTTTATTTCGTTTTTTTTTTTTTAATTTAGTTCGTGCCCAGGTAAAATCACAATTTCGAATGCTGCTTTTGAAGAAAAACAGACTCTTCATCTCACTGGAAGATTATTGCTAACAGCATTTTCATTCCTTTTAGTTATTTGGCAGATGAATCCAAAGTTAATAGATATTCTATCTTGTGCATAAATGACTAGCCTCCATTTTTCAAATCAGGTCAAATGTCTTGCATTGCACTGCTGCTAAATCTATCAGAATTCCTTCTTTAAACCCAACTGATAATTCGAAGAAAAAGATACTCTGGGCTTTGAAGATCCAAACCAAACACAACATTCTGGGGTCATTTTGTAGTCGTGTTGTAGGGAAAGAGGATCAATCGTAGGCATGGCCTTTATTAGCGGATCTCAGGATGCGGAAAAAAGAAAACAAAAAATTGAAAAAGAGAACTAGGGAACATGTAGTTTCAGGTCATGCCGATAATACTTGGAACACTTTCAAAAACACTAGAATTGAAACCTAATGAATTAAATATCCGAGTAAGAATTTACAGTGCTGAGGTCTGCAGGGATACTACGGAAGGTTCTGGTGAGTTGCGGACATTTGAATCTCCAACGGTAATCACCAGGCATCGGGGATGAACAGGCAAAAGGAACGAAAGAAGAAGTGTTTTATTATATAAGACTATAAAATATTTAAAAGTTATCGCTTGAAATTCCATTAGTAACTCAATTCTTCAAGTTTTTGTTCACCTCTCCTGTGGCCAGGTATTGAACTCACAACACTTTGGGTCATGTCACTAGATTACTTCAACCAACGTTCTTATCCACAGGACCATCTGTGCTTGGGTAGTTGAACTATTAACGGGAATTAACTGAAACTGAGATATCCAGAAAAGGCGTGGCATGTGGAACTAGAACAATCTAACCCCGTGAACTAAATAAAGGGGTCGGTTCGAAGTCACCTGAAGAAGGCGGGAGCGTACAACGGCCGATACGTCATGAATATGACAATTAAGCTGAGGACAACGATTCGAACAATGTAAATAGTATAAATAGTTACAATACCTCATCTCAGAAATATAACCAGAAGAATATTAGTATTGATAAATCTATTTATTTACATTCTCCTTGATTCACATATGGAACTCTTGTCAGTCAATGATACATTGCCACTTCTTCAGCACCTGATGTTAAGATTTGATTGAGAGAATGATTGAGAGAATGATTGATTGATGTTACCAACAAATCAATTTCTACTTTCTATGACTAAACAATAAAAGAACTAAATGAAGTCTTGTTCCCAATTGGCTTTGATTATATAGAAATAATTTTGGAACAACCTGTTTAATTTACAGGTGATGAAATTACGGCGCCGCGTAGATCACTGTTTGACAAAATATTCTCACAGAACTATAGATAATGATCTTGCTTCTCACTGGGGTCCCATCATCGTGGTCCTGTGTCTTTAAGGTGAATAGTATAAAAAAGTGAAATGTTACTTTATTCTGATAATATCCAGAAATGTTGTTGTGCAGTGGTTAGCGTAGACATTACTTACGTTTGTTTGTTTTTTTTATTGTCGGTTCATTTCTAAATCAGTGTATGACGAAATGCGAAGATTATTCCAGTTCAATAATTGTCTCAAATGATTAGGATATTAGTTCCAACCATATCCTAAATGTCGTGGAACAACATTTCAAAACTATTTTATTATTCTTTCTATTCTATGACTAGGAAAGCTTGAATCAGTCCAAAGGAAATATAACCACATGAAAATATCTGTCTGAAGAATCCTTGGTACAAGAGCTTCATTTCGAAATTTGAGAAGCGGTTTCATTTTCTTCCTGCTGATACTGTCTACATTGTTTTCTTTCAAACGGAATTCGTAACACACAGATTGTTCCAAGAACTAGAGTTCGTCTGTTTCATTCATTCTGGCTTTCCTTCTGGTCATGACCGTATTGATTGTATTCACCATAAATCTCACCAATTTTGGTGTTGTCTGTCCATTCTGGCCAAAATTCTTTCTTCATCCGATAGAAATAGGCAGTCAGGTTCGGGAAAGTATTTTCTACAAGAAAAAAAATAATATAAAAACTTTACAAAAAGATCTAATATTTGATTAATAGAAGAAAAATAGGGTTAGTTTTAAGTTGTTGATTCACATTCTTTAAGAATATTAGGTCTAGAATCGATAAATTTTATTATTTATTCGGAATAAAAAAATGTTTTTTAAAGAATGGTAAAACAACTACACCGAGGCAATAGCTCATCTACTGCCAGGAAATTTGGTTCTCTGTATCGCGCCAGAAGGTTTTTCTCATCTGAGTTTATCCTTCACATCTACAAATCTACCATTCGTCCATGCATGGAAAGTAGTTGCCATATATGGTCTGGTTCCCTCGCTGTTCATCTCGAGATTCTCGACAAAATCCAAAGACGGATATGCAATGTGATCGGTCCTGACTTGGGGTCTTGACTCCAGTCACTTTCTCACCGATGTAATGTGGCCTCCCTCTGTCTTTTCTATAAATATTTTCATGGCATCGGTTCTGACAAGCTATTTTCACTGGTTCCCGGACTGCATCAATTTCAGCATGCTACTGGGTTGGCATCTTGGTCAAACCCTTTTAGTGTCAAAACAGTTATATGTAACCGCCGCTTCTACTCCAATAACTTCTTCTCTCGCACTTCCCAACAGTGGAACTCCCTTCCTCTTACTTGCTTCCCTGATAACTATAATCTTCAAAAATTTAAATGTAATGTCAATCAACATCTTCTGATACCTTGATCCCCGTTCTTCTTTTTATCCTTTCCCCAACCCTCACTATACCCAGTCTTTTCCTTTACTTTCACTCACTAACCCCTTGCGTACTAGGCGCACACCCGCCTTGTTCGGGGTGAAATGCTTAAAAAACAAAAGTATATCACTGTTCATTATTTACATTATTCGGACTATTGTCCTCATCTTTGTCGCCATATTTATTACAACGTTTCGGCCGTTGTACGCTCCAGCCTTCTTTGTAATAAATATGGCGACAAAGATGAGGACAATAGTCCGAATAATGTAAATAATGTACATAATACCTCATCTCAGAAGTATAGACAGATATATCGCTGTTATATTCTTTTTCTTTTTTGCAGATATTTTGAAGGGATCGATAAATAATTTTTAAACTGACATGTAAAACTTAAAAGATCTTTAATAACTCCCATTATGCCGTAAACAATGCAATTCATACAGTCTTTACGACAAAGGGAAATAAATTTTATCCGACAAAACTACAACGTGGTTAAAGAATAAAAATAAAATTACGCAGAAACTAATCTGTAACTTCATTGGTATTTTACTAAAAGAAAAGAAATTGCCCCCAAAATAATTGAATTACTGACTCGTTCCCATTATAATTGCTACATTTACTATATGAAATGTGTATGCATTTCATATACTAAATGTAGCAAGTCTGAGGTAGACTATTAAGTATTAATCAACAGAAGCAATATGAAATTTCGATTATTACTTGAATTTCTGTAGATTGTTAAAATACGTATGTTTCGTGCATTCTATTGATCTTTCATTATTTTTAACTATAGTGCAACCTCGGTTCTCAAACGTCTCACATGTCGAACAAATACGTTTTAGAACAGAAAATTCAAGATGAAAATACCTCGGTTATCGAACAAAATTTCGGTTCTCGAACAACATTACCGAACCGAGTTAACGCGAACGGAATAATTTCTGAGTCGACCGCCATGTTGTATAGATTCGTGTGTTGTGTTCTGTTGTGCTTTTTTCCAATTTTATTGTACTGTGATTATTTTTCTCTCAAATATTGATTCCTATTGAAAAATAGTTTCGGTTTACGAACATTTCGGGTTACGAACGGCCTTCAGGAACAAATTAAATTCGTGAACCGGGGTTCCACTGTACTGGGAAAATCTCAATCCCAAATAGTTTTCTGTACAACCACTTTTCCAGAGACGAAACGTTAATAGCTTCTAGCTGCTCTTTGTCATGGCAAAGGTTCAGACACGCAACACTTCTTAGTACCATCAGTAGAGATCTTCACAGTTAGGATTTGACCTGCCACATACACTGGAGGGTCGAATCAACTTTATTCCCTTCATACTCCATTGGTAAAGGAGGAAGACTCCGCTTAGCCTCTTCCCAAGAACTGCTACTTTGTGGAACAGACTCCCGAGAGGGTGCTTCTCTGATCAATACAATGTTAAGTCTAGCGTCATTCGTTAGCTGTCCTACATATGGGCATATGTACTTATCACTTCCACCTCTTGCGCACTTACAACATTCGGTAACACTTTACCTTCAGTGGCCGTTGTGCCTTGGATAGAGTGACTTGAGTGTAATAAAATACTTCTTTCTTTGTATGGTACAACGTTTATGGAAACTGAATTCACTTTTATATGAAATTAAAATGGAATTTGTGTCAGCGATGTCAATCTCCCAAAAGACTGTGAGAATGACGAAATAGGGAGACGCGAAGACATAAATATACTAAGGGGGGCTAAAATGTCCTAAGGTTTGTCTATTTTGTCAGATTAGAATAAGTAATACAGATTCATAAATTTCCATATATATATAATGATAATAATATACTAATTTTGTTTATATATATATATATATATATATATATAAAGAAATATAGTCTTAAGGTGTGCTATATTTATAGGGTAAAGTGCTCAATATCAGAGATAGAGCGTGTGTAAATATAAAAGTGAACATAGAAGTCAACACTTAGAGGCGACAGTCTGTTTCATGCTATATGCAATCGTCAGGCCACGATATATATATATATATATATATATATATATATATATATATATATATATATATATATATTAATAAATGCAGATATACCTACGTTTGATGTACGACGTAAGTTTCGTTAGTTATCCAACTTGTCGGGCACAAGATATACCTTATTGTTTATTTTTAAAAAGTATACAGATGCTCCTGGGATGGATGCTGATTCATAGTTCATAATTAAAATATTACAAAAATAGTACTAAAGCAATACTAGGGTTTAAGTGCAGGAAATGAGGTGTAGGTATGAGTCAATATTTTTAAAAAAATGAACAGAGGCATGAAAATATACGGTCGCTAATATCTAGTAAGTTCATTTACCTATATATATGTGTGTGTGTGTGCGTGTATGTGTGTGTGTGTGTTTCGAACAATAAAAAATATTAAAAAATTTTAAATTTTCAAACACACTGGTTTGTATATTAATATTTTTTGTTTTATTATTTCAATTCGGTTCCTCGACTTTATTTTGGAATAAACACGCCAGTGACTCAGAGTGCTCGATTCATAGAAGAGCCTTACATTATCAGCAGTAGTAGTCACTGTTTACAAATTCGTGCTTTCCCTCTAAAGTACTCGAACAAATTTTATTTTTTCGGGGTGTTCCCAACTCATATTGTGTATTTGGTCAGCAAGGGCCCTCTTTTACACAAGTATCATTAAAGATAACTGACAAAATACTGCGGTTAAGTTTTTATTTAATTTTTTCTTGAGTTCGTTTCATTTTTTTTTCTTTCCTGGATATGAAGTGTGTAAGAATCGTCCGAATTTTTTGTATGTCTGAATACTTCCGGCTATTCTTTTGACCATTATCAAGGATTTTTTTTTTATTTTTAATTGAATGCGTACATTTTTTTATGTATGTATCTAGAGATCTGGATTTTTTTTCCATTGTTTAATATTGTACAATATTGTACAATATTTTACAATGTGTTGACCGAGTTTAGAAATCGCTTCTTTTTCTTTTTCTTTAATAAGATTTCTCGAATATTCCAGCCGTTTTTACGATAAAAATAAAATCGATTGATATTTTTATTAAATTTTTCTTGTATCCATACAACTATGTTCATAGATTGTTTAAAAACTGTGCAAATTTTCTATGGATTCTAGTCTGTTAGCCATTATCAAGGATATATATATATATATATATATATATATATATATATATATATATATCATGTCGCGAAATAATGATTAGCAGGCTTGTGTTACATGTGCTACAGCAACAAGCCACCGAGTGTCATGTGCTTGTGTCATTGTATCAAAACTAACCTTAATGAATAACTACACACATCTGATCGTGTGTGTGTGTACGAGTGTTTGGGTGCATGTGTGTGTGTGTGTGTGTCTGCGTATATACGTGTGTGTGTCTGCGTATATACGTGTGTGTGTGTATACTTGTGCGTGATGACTCACCTTTGATGAATTTGTAGCAGAACGAGGTCACTGGCATCTGCCACATCAAAGAAATCATTCCAAAAATGGTACAGTCTGTTTCACAAGGTTCTTTGCCCATCAGAAATTTTTTCTCTCCTATAATGAAACGGTTTAACTGCATCAAGTCAAAAATTGATTTATTTTCGAATTAAAGCGACGTTGTACTACATTTACTTGATTAATTCCAATGACTTTCATATTTGAATTTGTCAAGACAATAAGTTGACGCTTTAAATTTCAATTGATAAAGATATCCGTCTGTATAAATTACAGATTTTGAAATTATGATAATCAATTTCAAACCTGTTTATAATAAACTCACAAAATATTATGGAATTTCTCAGTTCAGAAAACTATATGTCATTGAAGCACAAAAACCCGACCATAGCTAAGAAGAATGGCAAATGTCAAATTATTGCTTTGATACAAGAAGAGTGAACTTCAAAGATGGAAAAATACCAGGATCTGGCTAGGCTACTCATCGGAGTCGACGTTGCTTAACTTCGGTGATCGTACGAGAAGCGGCGTTTCAACGCGATGTGACCGTAAGCGAATAAGAGAAAACATTAAAATGAAAGCATCTTTTCTATTCATTTTTCTCTTTTCTTTTTTTTTTTTTTTTTTTTTTTCGTTAATATGAGAAGGTATCTTACCCATAAAATCCGAAAGAGCTTGCAGATCGTCCCTGGCAATTGATTCAACTTCACGATGATTATGTCTGCCGATGCCTTGACTATAAGCTTGCGGCTCCACAATTTTGCGTACCCTCCAGACTAAGAAACGATTCAATCCAGTTATCTTCCTTAGGGAAGGATCTCCTGAACCGTAGACCCAGCGGCTCACTATAAATGACCTAAAATAGGAAAAAGTAAAAGAATTTAGGTTTAATGTTTGCATCAATTTACTCGCATCGCTCGTCTTTCATGTTTCAACAGTAATATTTAATTGAAGAAAAGCAGACGACTCAGTAGACTTGATCAATAAAAAAATCACCGGCAGTTTAACAAATTTATGGTGTGATATTTTTAATATTGAAAGGGCCGTATTTTTAAAAAAGATTGTTTTTCTCTTCAAATATTATTGTGCAAAACAAAAATAAGTATTTTCTTTTTCTGATTCAATTGTATATTGGAATGTTGCTTACTAAAAATGTCATAAAATCCTTCTGTATATCTTATTGCCCACGTTGCTTAACTGCTGGAAATGATGGTCGATCTCTAGGCTATTTCAAAGGATTCGAAATTGTCGTAAATTTGAAAAAATGTCTTTAAACTCCGAGCCTCGGATATATTGAATTATGTTTATTGAAATACTATTTTAGTAAAGCTTTAAAAAAATGTATTTCAAAAATAAAAAAATAAAGTTTCTAAATTAATTTAGTAGCTAAGAATGTCTGTCACCAAATCAGAGTGCTTTGATCGTATAACCTTAAACTAGGTACTTCCAAAGATAAGCTGCAAACTGATCATACGTGATGAAAAAAATGCCCCAAACTTCATTAAGAGAAAAAACAAAAGGATTTTTTGGTTATTGAATTATATTTTTAATCCTTTTTAGAACATAAAAATGTTGCCTAAAATCTGTTACCTTCCATCAACTGTTGACTCTAAATTAGTATGTGATGTTTTTGTGTCTTTTTCCGTTCATTTGGAAATTCTTGCAAAAATCAAATAATTGTCGGATTTTAATGAAGCTTTCAGGACTTCATAAAATGAATAAAATTATGTTAGACACGTTTCTTTTTTTAAAAATCTTGGCAAAAATACTTTTTTACATCTGTTACCCACACATTTAATTTTATGAAATTTCGAAAAATTCATTTTTATAGCGCTTAATTTTTATATTATTTATAAGCACAAGTCCATGGAAAATTTAAATCATCAAATTTTTTTTGTCCTTGGAAAATTTAAATCATCAATTTTTTTTGTCCTTGGAAAATTTAAATCATCATTTTTTCTAAGACAGGAGCCCCAGTCACCGAAAATCTGCCTTGAATCATAAAATAGAAAATGTATTAAAACTATGGCGTTATTTAAATAGAAACATTTTAATTGCTTTCATAAATAAGATTTATTATGGACACTATTGACTTAAGAAAACAAAGTTTTCGATGAATAAGGAGTTTTTAGATGAATTTTTAAAATTTTAATTATAATAATTCATAAAATTTTAAATCTTTTAAAATTCTGTATTAATTTGTAACGGTTAGGTGATATTGTTATTAAGTAAAAACTATATTTACTAATAATAAATGGAAAAACTTACTACAATTCAGCGACCCCAGTATTTTAAAAATAATTTTGATTTGTGTGTGTGTGTGTGTGTGTGTGTGTGTGTGTGTGTGTGTGTGTGTGTGTGTGTGTGTGTAAGCGTGCCGATTTTTGAAAATACGAGCATCCATACATGACATTATCAGAAAATAAGAGCGGTAACTATACTAAATTTAAAGCCAAAGTAAATAAAATTCAATAAAATATTAGATTACTTAGAATATATTCATAAATTTTTAAAATTACCGGGTAGTTAGAAAATATAATAAAAGGCGCTCACGTTATGTTTATCAATAATTTTTACAGTTATGTTCCCCGTAGAAAAAATTCCCAAATATAAGCCGTATGCGAAATTTTAAACTAAAAGTAAATAATACTTGTTTCGAATCAGATTAATTAACATATAAATCAGCTAATATACCCCAAATAAAGTTTTAGGAAAGTATAATTTATTTTTGAAATAGTTTTTAATAAATAAAATTACGTTGTGCTGACAGATTTCTAAATATGGCTAAAATCAGTCATTTTTACCGATTTCAAAAAAATCATTCCAATCAATTTAAATTCGTTTTGAAATACAGCAAAATATTTTGCTTATTGGAAATCTTAAATTTAATCTATTAGCTTGAAATTAAAACTAAAATAAAAGCTTCAAGAAAGATTTTTCATTTTTAAAATTCATTTTAAACTTTAGGTATCGTTTTTCTTTGGTGGTACCTATCTTAACTGAAACTGGAGAAAAGAAAATTCTGATTATCAGTCAGTCATTTGGCAAAATATTTTGAATAGTTAATGAGCAAAGGTAATCTTAGTTGCATATCTTTGAAGTAATTCCTGGAATGTTTATTGCAGTTCTTTCTAGCACTAAGAAAGTTTTCAATCGTGATGACAGTGATTAAAATTTGTCTTGTCAGTTTCCTGTAGAATAGAAACTGACATTTAAGTTTAACGGTGGCTAATAAACAAATTAACTCTAAATTGCATGAATAAAAATTTTACAGAGTTATTAAGATGTCCTTGGTATTTTCTCTTATAAACTAAAAAAGATAGTAATTAAAATCAAATGTATGTCATTCAAACTCATAAAAAATAGAGTTGACCAAGAAAGTATCTTTTTATGAACAAGTGCCTGCTTTTTCTGTCTGGCTATATCAATTTTTAGCACCTAGGATCAGAGTGTAGTATGCTGGTCATTCTGATTTCGAATCATGTTTCGGGCTGAAAACCTATACAACAGTAATGAGTGGTAAAGGAATTTTGGAAAATAAAGACGAGGAATGAAGCGGGTGTGCAGTCGGAAAGACCGGAAACTAGAAAGGAAACGAAAAGAATTATTCATATATAAATGGAAAGGAAGGAGGCGAAAGAAAGGTATAGAGAGGGGGGAAAGGATGAAAGCGAAAGAAATGTACAAAGAGAGAGAAAGGGCGGAGACCGAAAGAAAATTATGGAGAAGTGAAAAGGGTGGGAAAAAAAGAAAGATGGAGACAGAGAGAAAGGATGGAGACCGAAAGAAAGATATAGAGAGGGGGGAAGGATGGAGACCGAATGAAAGATATAGAGGGAGAAATAACAGAGACCGAAAGAAAGTTACGGAGAAGTGAAAAGTGTGGAAACAAAAGAAAGATATAGAGAAGGAGAAAAGATGGAGACCGAAAGAAAGATATAGAGAGGGAGAAAAGATGGAGATTGAAAGATATAGAGAGGAAGAAAAGATGGGGACCGAATGAAAGATATAGAGAGGGGGAAGGATGGAGACCGAATGAAAGATATAGAGGCGGAGAAAAGATGGTGACTGAAAGAAAGATATAGAGAGGGGGAAGGATGGCGACCGAATGAAAGATATAGAGGGGAAGAAAAGATGGAGACCGAATGAAAGATATAGAGGGGGAGAAAGGATGGAGACCGAATCAAAGATATAGAGAGGGGGGAAGGATGGAGACCGAAAGAAAGATATAGAGAGGGAGAAATAATGGAGACCGAAAGAAAGTCATGGAGAAGTGAAAAGTGTGGAAACAAAAGAAAGATATAGAGGGGGAGAAAAGATGGAGACCGAAAGAAAGATATAGAGAGGAAGAAAAGATGGAGACTGAAAGATATAGAGAGGAAGAAAAGATGGAGACCGAATGAAAGATATAGAGAGGGGGGAAGGATGGCGACCGAAAGAAAGATATAGAGGGGGAGAAAGGATGGAGACCGAATGAAAGATATAGAGGGGGAGAAAGGATGGAGACCGAATGAAAGATATAGAGGGGGAGAAAAGATGGAGACCGAAAGATATAGAGAGGAAGAAAAGATGGGGACCGAAAGAAAGATATAGAGAGGGGGGAAGGATGGCGACCGAAAGAAAGATATAGAGGGGGAGAAAGGATGGAGACCGAATGAAAGATATAGAGGGGGAGAAAAGATGGAGACCGAATGAAAGATATAGAGAGGGAGAAAAGATGGAGACCGAAAGATATAGAGAGGAAGAAAAGATGGAGACCGAAAGAAAGATATAGAGAGGGGGGAAGGATGGCGACCGAAAAGAAAATATAGAGGGGGGAGAAAGGATGGAGACCGAATGAAAGATATAGAGGGGGGAGAAAGGATGGAGACCGAAAGAAAGATATAGAGGGGGGAGAAAAGATGGAGACCGAAAGATATAGAGAGGAAGAAAAGATGGAGACCGAAAGAAAGATATAGAGAGGGGGAAGGATGGCGACCGAAAGAAAGATATAGAGGGGGAGAAAGGATGGAGACCGAATGAAAGATATACAGGGGGAGAAAAGATGGAGACCGAATGAAAGATATAGAGGGGGAGAAAAGATGGAGACCGAAAGATATAGAGAGGTAGAAAAGATGGAGACCGAAAGAAAGATATAGAGAGGGGGAAAGGATGGCGACCGAAAGAAAGATATAGAGGGGGAGAAAGGATGGAGACCGAATGAAAGATATAGAGGGGGAGAAAGGATGGATACCGAAAGAAAGAAAAAGAGGGGGAGAAAAGATGGAGACCGAAAGAAAGATCTAGAGAGGGAGAAAAGATGGAGACCGAAAGAAAGATACAGAGGGGGAGAAAAGATGGAGACCGAAAGAAAGATATAGAGAGGGGAAGAAAGGATGGCGACCGAAAGAAAGATATAGAGGGGGAGAAAGGATGGAGACCGAAAGAAAGATATAGAGAGGGAGAAAGGATGGAGACCGAAAGAAAGATATAGAGAGGGAGAAAGGATGGAGACCGAAAGAAAGATATAGAGAGGGAGAAAGGATGGAGACCGAAAGAAAGATAAAGAAACCGACTTGCTTTCTGAATATCATGAAACAATAAATGAAAAATTGTTCAACCAATATAGATGGAAGAACGTTTTAAAAATTGTTAGACATTAAAATTCTTTACGCGAAGACAGAGCAAAAAAAGGATGAAAGGTTACAGTAGAAAATAGATGTACCTTATTTTTTTATTTTTTTGCATTTGAAACAAATTTATATTTGCATAAGACAGTTAAAAAAAAAAAATTAAGAAGAGAATAAAAAGATACCAGAAAAGATTTTCTTCGGTCATTTTCTGCATGGCCCGAGCTACTGCTTTTTCTGTTTGTGATAAATGCTGGTTCAGGTCGATGTCGAATTTGCGATTGAGAAATTGGATAATAAAATGCGTGTCACTGAATATTTCTCCATTAAAAACGATCCATGGCGTCTTGTGTTTAGGTGAAAATTCATATGTATAAACATTCTGCAATAAAATGAATTACAGCATAACAAAAAAAAGGCTTATTTTTTATTGTTCTTAAAACATTCGATAATTATACAAAAATAAAAACACTGGCAAATACACCCTTGTGTAAATTAATTGAAACAACCACTTAAGTTTCCTTCCTTTCAACACACGGTTAGATTTAGACCCACTGGAGTAAAAGGGTGTAATCGATTTCTATTTTTCCTCAAATTAAGTCATTTACAGTGTTGTACAGTAATATGAATCTATTTTCGGGGAGTATGATGAAATTTGTTTGGCCTTGAAAAATATTACGTCATCCGTAATTACATAATTTTTTTTTTATCACACCCAGACACTATTGTCTCGACTATCGATGAGTTGTCCTATGGCCATTGTCTGCGATGGACGTTACTCCAGGGAAACGTGCGGAAATTGTAACGCTGCACGAACACACAGGCAAGCCTTACCAGTGAGCAAATCAAAGTAATAGACTAGCCCGAAAACTCTCCTGATTTAAATCCAATCGAGAATCTGTGGTCAATCTGCAAGGGATAACTTCGAGTAATGGACATACGAAGAACTAACATGTGCACTGGGTCATGTTTCATTGGAAAAATACGAAAAAAGTAAATAATAACAGAATTATTCGTTTTGTTTCAATTAATTTGAACAAGGGTGTAGGTGATCATGGTCCTCTACATCTTCCTGTATAATTAATTTGCATAAGGTGTATCTCTTCTTGGGCTCTTCATGAGAAACACCGCTTCGGTAATAAAAATCTGCTTAATTAAATTACTAATCACTATTCTACAGCAAGGAGTCCGAAATATTTCACGTGTTTAACTCACTATGGCACAAGGTTACAAATATGAGAGCAGTTGTTGAAGATGGAACTCACTATCTTGTTTACCATTATAACTCGATGATATCATTAGTTATTTATTAAGCTTAGTTTAGTCTGATAAAAAATCATACGTATAGAGTATTTCGGGCCGGTGTAGGCGTTGAGAAATAGACACGTGTGTCTCCTGAAATGCCCACAATAAACATGTCCAGACTCGGGATGTGAGTCCATGCAAAGAAATGTAAAGAAACAACAAGGACGAATATATGTGTGTACAAACAAATGATAATGTATTAACAACAAAGGGTTATAAGCGACAAAGGCAATAATGTGTGTAACAAATGAATATAGAAACTTTTTGGTCCAAAGTGTGTGTGTGTGTGTGTGTGTGTGTATGTGTGTGTGTGTGTGTGTTGTTCATGCGTCTCCCAAAAATAATTATAATATTTATCACGGAGTATTTATGGAGCCGGAAAGCGTCTCCTAGTAGCGGTTTCGGAAATTAGGGGGAGGTAACCCGACAAGGGCACCAAATTTGGATCGAATATAGATTGAAACAGAGATAAAACTGAAACACCGGACACTAGTCAAATAGTCACATTTAAATACGGACCAATAGTCAAACCGAAATTAGGTCGATTGTAATTCTGATAATAAAGATAAAATTAGTAGACAATACAGAAAAGAAAAAAATGTACCTTTTCTTCATATGAAAAAAAAAAGTCAAACGAATGTTCCCACTTACTTTATATGGAATTTTTGCCATCCTGAGATAGGTTTCCAGTTTGATGGCGAATGGGGATAAATTAGGAGCCACAGGTGTTCTGGGGAATTGGTGCAGCATAACGACATTCTTCGGGTAATTACGCTTCCTGCAACAAAAACATTGCAAACGAAAAAGTTTTGCTATCAAACAGATAGAACGTCAATTCCTTGACGAGTTGTGAATTTTCTTCATCAAATAAAAATGCGATCAGAGCAAGATAAAAAATGTTTTCCTTTTTTTCTACAGTCTGATTAGTATCCTTATTTTTGTTGTTTTGTCACATCGTTTTGACTCGTGCAACTTCAAACCTATTTAAATATCAGATTTTTTAAAAAACAAACTACTCTAATTATTTCGGACTAATATCCTTATCCTTGTTTTGATCACAATATTCTATTTGCTGCGTTCTTTGAGGTATTAAAAAAATAATTTACTCATTTTGTTTATGAGACATTAAATTATGTCACTTAGCATCCTCCATAATTTACTAAACTTTTCAGTTAGTCTGAGGTACAGGGTATCCCCAAAAATTTGACATTATTTCGCAGGCCAATAATTCTGGCAATTCTTGTTGAAATAACCTCAAATTTTCACAGAATGTATAGAAACAGATCAAGATTTTATATTTAATGTTTTATTTTTATTGTGTTTTCTCAGGTTGAGCCATGCCGAAAGAGAAGTCGTTTTGCGTATTAGAAACTGCTCGCCCACAGTCATCCAAGACTGTGCAGCGTGCTTTCACTAGAAAATTTGGAAAAACCTACCCAGCCGTCAAACAAATTTGGATTTGGTACCAAAAATTTAAAGAGGAAGGCTGCTAATGCGGGACTAAAGAATATGGTAAACCATCATCAACATCATCAGCATGTTTAGCAAGAGCTTAACTACCGACTTGACATGTGCCGTGTCACAGGCGGTGCACATATTGAACACTTAATTAAATCAGTCCCATAATAAACTTATGATGTTTAACACCTAAACTGTTCAATTTTATTGGGCAAGAGATTTAGTAATTTTCAAGATAATTGCTTTTCAAATTTTTTGGGCCACCCTGTATATTTAAGAGTGTCCTTAAATTTTAAAAATTGAAAAAGAATGACATTTTTACTTTTGTTTATAAATACTTGTTGCAAAATAAAATCCTTACATTTGCCTTGATGAAGTCTATCAGAGGATGAAATGCGTCTTTATTCATATTGTCCTTTTACAGATGTATATTTTATTTATATCTGAAATTTTACACACACACACATACACACACACACACACATATATATATATATATATAATAATTATTAGTTTATATATTTAGTTTTAATTTTAAATTAATCTAGATTTGGAGTTTTCCGTTTTGAAACATAAGATGTTACGCGTCTCGATGGAATCATAGTTTTTAAAAAAATAATTATATATATATATATATGTGTGTGTGTGTGTGTGTGTGTGTGTGTGTGTGTGTGTGTGTGTGTGTATCTAGGCAACAGTCATGGAATATGACAGACAAGGTGCTTTTATTTAGATTTTATGCAATTTCTGGGGCGATCTAATATTTTTTTTTTCTTTTCAGATGATAAATTTTATAAAAACTATCCGAATGTTATTTTATCCGAGCGCTTTCGGCTATACGTTTAGCCATTTTCAAGGATTAACTATTTTAAATAGTTTGTTGCATGTATGTTTTATAAAATGTTTTCATTTTTCAAAACACGGTCATGACATTGTGTCTATGCTTATAGTTAATATTATTAAGTTTTTTTGGTTTTGTTTTTATTAATAAAGCTTCCATTATTTTTATCCTTTTTATTTATTTATTTTTTTTTTTTTTTTTTTTTTTTTTGCATGTAGATGATGCTATTATATCATATATATATATATATATCAGAAATTGGAAAAAATATGATTACATGTTTCGCCAAAGACCTGGCGTCATCAGAAGAAAAAATTTTATCACACAAGAAGAAAAAAAATAAGAAGTAAAGAAGATTTATTGAAATTCCCTGCCCAGCCGAATTTCTCAAATGTAGGTCAGGCCTAGATCAAAACTGTTTCAATGTTTGTTTTTTTGTTAGCAGACATTGTTTACATTCTATTTAGTAAACTCCTGTGTCTGGTGAAAACTAATTCATTCTTTTATATTAAATATTTGATCTGATTTTGAAGTGTTTAAGATATTTATATTGACATTATCTACATTTCTTCATTAATTATTGACTTTGTATATAATGCCACTTTTTTATTGTTGTTTATACGTTTATAATTTTCTATTTTTATTTTCTGGTTTTATAGATTTTGTATGTTTTTCTTTTGGCATTGTATATGAAATGAATTGTACGGGGGAGGATTTAAAAGTATTTTCAATGTATATTTCTTCTACGGATAGATATTCAGAGCGTCAAATTTTAAAGACTGTGTTTGAAAGCGTGTATGTGAAGGTATTAAATGCAAATAATCTTATAGTAATTTAATTGTATTTTTAATTGAAATAATTTATGGGAATACGTGTTTGTGTGTGCGCAAAGGTAATCAATAAGCCTGTAGCTTAATGATGAAAAAGGCTTTTCTTTTGCGCAAGAAGTATTCAGCAAAAGAACGCTTGTCAATTCATTTTATTTTTAAGTCAGCACTTCTATATCGATAACATAAACCAAATTTAGAGAAGGAACATTTCAAATAAAGATGCCGTTAATAAATGTGTCAGGCGACGGAATTATTGATCTCTGTCTGTGTGTTTGTGCTTCTAAATACATGTGCGCGTATGTGCGTGAATTGCCGCGTATGTGTTTGATACTCACTTTCTCCTTACGATCCACTGGTGACAAAGAAATCCAAGAACGATTATCAGGAAGACGCCAGCAAGGAACCCTTCAATCCTCATGTTCGCCAAAATTATTTCCCTTGATTTAAAAATAAAAAATAAAATAAAATTTGTTCATGCGTCAATTATTTTCTTTCGGGTGTCGACAGTGTTTCTTGAAGTCTTTAGATACAACAAAAATGCACACATAAATTCCACCGCCCACTAAATAAATGCATTGAAAATTAACGTGGAACGGTAGAGACTGTCGGTTTGTTGTCAAGTGAAATAAATCCAAGTATTTAATTGTAACAATGTGTTAGATACGCACAAAAAGGACGTAGAACAGTTTAATGTGTATTAGGTTTAAATGGGTAAGAGTTGATGTTCACTGCGAATTAAGTCTTGAGTTTTTTGAGGAGTTGATCACATGGTCCCAAATCTGACGGATTGTTGTGGTGAGTCGGGTGGAGAGTGAAGGAAGCTTCAGGGTATTTAATTTACAAGGAAGAGAGAGTTGGGATTACAAAAACAGAGAAGAAAAGAAAAAATGGATATTTTTAAGTAGAAGTGAAGGGAGAATAAAAGGAAAACAGAGAAAGGATAAAAGAGATGAGAGTTAAGAAAGAGAAAAGGGGAAGAGCGAGAAGAGAGAAAGAGAAAGCAAAGAATAAAAAATAAAGAGAAAAAGAGGGATATATATCAGGGGAGTGGTTAGTAAAAAGTGAAAGGAAAGAAATATGAAAAGTTGGGAAGAAAGAAAGAAAGAAAAAAAGAAAAGGGGAAAAGAGAAAGGAAAATAAAGAAGATTAAAAATTTAAAGTCCAAGTGGAAGTAGAAAGAAACGGATTGAGAACGAGAGAAAAAAAAAAAATAAAGAAAAAAAGAGGTGAATGTGAAGTAAGGAAAAGAGAGAAGGAAAGAGAAACAGAGAAGGGTGAGAAAGAAAACGAAGAGGAAAGAGATAAAAGAGAAGTGGATACTAGAGAAAAGAAAGAGTGAAGGAAATAGAGTGAGAAAGAAAAGATATCAGACAAGGGAATCCAGAAATAGTTCATGAGAAAATGGGTCACAACGATTAAAACAACACCAACAAGGACAAAACTTTTAAATGCTAAAAAGAAAAAAAATACATTTAACTTGTTGCGTAATTTTAGAATTTTTTTTTTAACAAGAACAAAAACTGGAATGCTTACTTGAGGTCAGATATGATACAATTCACCCTGAACCCAAATTATACTGTTATTTAGTAATCTAGCGTAGACTGACTAAAGGGAAATAGATAGTAGGAATATTGTGTTGTGTCAATCTATCAAGGGGAAGGTATTTCATGACTTGAATAACAACATTTTTAACAATTTCCTTATCTTTAATATCGATCTCTACCATCGATAAGTAATGCACAATTATTTCAATCAACAAGTGCATGCACACGAAACATGCACTGACCCCGAAGGACGATGCAGATGTTGACCCCCGTCTCTAATGTCCATGCTAACGATGAGTGACAGAACTAATTTCACCTCGGAGTTAATTTCAACTCGGAATTGAATTCAACTCGGAACTAATTTCACTTCGGAATTAATTTCAACACGGAACTAATTTCAACTCGGAATTAATTTCAACTCGGAACTAATTTCAACTCGATTTAAAAACCATAATCATTAGTTCCGAGTTGAAAATAGTTCTGAGTTGAAATTAATTCCGAGTTTAAATTAATTCTGCACCCCCTTACATATGGTAGATATTCTGAGACAATCGTCAATGTCTTCGGCTAGCTTTTGACGTGACGGCCTTCATAAAAGTGCAGCGCTTGTGTCTGAGCTTTAAGCGTAGACACACACAGGTTCTATGTAGTGAGGGAAACCAGTGCAAATAGATTTCATTACACGATGATGTATACACGTACAGCTTTTATCTAATTAGTAGAATCATTTGAACGAAATGGATCGAATGGTAGGCCGTTGAAAGGCCCGATGGTCATTTTAGGGAATTGGATGTCGTGAGTCGAGGTTCTTCAATGTTGCTCAGATTAAATATTGATAAAATAGCGAATGTCACAAAGTACTCCCCAGTCGATAGTACGCACCGGCTTTGATACACAGCATAGGTGAGAGCAAGAGAATATCAACACTCAATGTTTGAAATCGTTTAATTGAAGCAGGACTACGTTCACAAGTAGCCATGAATACAAAGATGTATTAATGCCCATAGAGCTGATAGCAGATACGGAAAAGAAATTACAAAACATCCTACAGAAGGTAGCGAAGGAGAGCGAGAAGAAGGGACTAAGCATGAATTACAAGAAGACTGAATGCATTGCAAAAAAAGATGAGCCCGAAATGCGATTTACAGGTTGGGACACTAAAATCAACCAGGTGCAGAAATTTAAATATCTGGGAAGTGTTTTGACAGAGGACGGTAAGTGCGACGCTGAGATCCGAAGACGGGATCGCTAAAATCGCATTCTAAAAGCGAGGCAGAGTATTACGAGAGAGAAGGATTTCGTTGGTAACAAAGAAAAGAGTACTGAGCTGCTATATGATATCTGTCCTCCTTTATGACAGCGAATGTTGGACGGTCTCCTCAAAGATGAAAAAGAGACTCGAGGCAACGGAGGTATGGTTCTACAGAAGAATGCTATGAATACCATGAACCGAGCGCGTGAACAACGATGAGGTTTTGGAGAGGATGAAAACAAGGAAGAAGCTTATACTTAACACAAAAAAATAAGAAGCAGCTGAAATTTCTGGGACACGTAATGATAAAGGAGGGCTTAGAGAATCTGGTACTCACAGGGCGAATAGATGAACAAAGAGACAAAGGAAAGCAATTTGTGACATACATAGCAGGCTTAAGCAAGTGGATGACAGAACATGGTCTGAGAGAAGTAGCAAAGGGACAAAACTTATTGAGAGCTACAAGGGATAGGGGAAAGTAGAGATCCATGATCGCCTACGTCTTGAAGGGACACGGCACAAAAAAGAAGAAATATTAATGCTCAAAAGAATGTTGCTGAAAGTGTGTCAATCCAGACATATTACCTTTGCGCTTAGTCTTTGATTAAATTGATACGCATAATTCAAGCTTTTGCAAGTTTATTTTTCGTGGGACATTCACTAAAAACACTCGAATTAATTTTTTATGTCGTTTTAATGCATCATTTTTATTTCGTCACTAGTATTTTAGTAGTTATCTCTGGAAATTGATTGACAGCAAACCTTCTCAGTTTCCTCGATATTCCAGCTGTTTTCAGAAATAGTTTCGTGTCTTTCTCCTTAGATCGGATGTGTGTCCGGTGTAAAAGGGATAGAGATTCGAACAACGAAATCGGAGAGTCGAGTTCGAATTCCCGTTGAATTCGTTACAGTCACTTACGAGCAAAAAACTTTGGGAAAGATATGAATCCATCGCTTTTCTCCATCTCCATCTAAGGGTTAAATAGGACTTGTAGACAAATAATTCTTCTTTCCAAAAAATGTTAATGCAGTAATCACTCGTAAAAAAAGGAATTATTCTTACAATCCAAAAATATCTGTCATCTTTAAATTACACACAAAAAGGTTGATAAGCCGTAAAAACGAAATCAGTCAATCAATCCTCCTTACATCTCAAGTTCTTCCATCCTTTTTGCAACTGCGGCTTTCGTATACCATTTTTTCCCCTTTTTCTTTTCACTTTTTTCAATTTGATTGCCATCTGCTGGAATAGCAATGTCCAAGTTTTCTTCTCTTTGTTAACGATGACTAAATCTCATCTTTTGGCCTAGCGTGGGTGATATGTTTAAATTTCAAAACCCTAAAGAACTTTGTGTCTTTTTATTTTCCAACAGAGATTCTGGTTGGTGCAGACAAAATTAATTTTCATGGTCAAATTCTAGTCATTTGCAAAGTTCGCAGTGAGTAACCTTTTCCACTTAATCATATCAACTTCTGTACTCTTTCTGAGCCAACTTGCTACATTTAATGATTAAATGATTGTTGTTCTCTCTTTCTCCAATATAGTGAGTACGAAATAATAATAACTCTCTTTACCCACTTCCTTCAAATTCGGGTGAGCTGAAAAGAAACGGAAATAATTTTGTGTGCCTATGGGAAATTGTTTTGGGACCAATGAAAACCTTGTCTTCACAGAAATTAGCCGTTGAAAAAAAAAGAACACCATTGGAAAATTCGTAAACTTAAGGAATCAGCACATATGCTAGGCCACAAAAATCTCCTGAGTCGATCAAGCATAGAAATGAATACAATATGGGAACCAGTAATAAGGAGTGCCAGAGAAAAGCGATAATAACAACAAAAATTGCAATATGAGCGCTGGTAAAAAAAATATGCAATGATAACAGCAAAAATTGCAATATGAGCACTAGTAAGAAATGGTTGCTGAAGACATTAGGTTTATAATACCCAGAAATTCATACACAGATGTACCAAGGACACATGGCACAGTGGATAAAGACGTTAGTAAGATCCAGTGATAGGACCCAAAGAGTGTGAGTTCAATACCCGGTTTCAGATGGAAATTAACAGGAGATAACTGACATCCATTAAACATGGCACGTGGAACTAGAACAGTCTACCCCAGTGAGCGAAATAAAGGGTTCAGTTCGACATTCCAACTACCAGAGCGTACAACGGCCGAAACGTTGTAATAAATATGGCGAGAAAGATGAGGACAATAGTCCGAATAATGTAATGCCACATCTCAGAAATATAGACGAGTCACCAAGAGTTATCCAACTTTAAGCAGATAACTTTATTTCAGATTTCTTTTAACAACATCATGTGACCTTCTTTGTTTAATAGGAATCATTTTTTAAAAGAAGTTGAATTTTTAAGTAAATTTGCAATATAAACACAAAACCCACCGGCATTGAGAATGTACCATTCTCGTGTGAAATTGCCTGGTTATTTCAAAAATGACATTAAACATATGCGCTCGATTATCGTTTAGAATTTATGGACAATGTAAGTTCGACTCTAGCTACGCCACTGACTACAACCGATTTTATTTTATTTTTCATGAAGCATTGTCGGTTAATATTATTTGGTAGCTATATTTTTATCTTAATTTCTTCATTT